CATATTGACCCATCACACAACAAATAACATCCCACCATCTCCATACGCTCGAATGACGGATGTGTAGGGAGAAGAGACAGCTGCGCCATCATAATTAATACGCATGCGCATAAGAAAAAACGGTCGCTCGCCTCTACCCAACATACCCCTCCTGCGAGCAACATTTTTTCAATACAAAAATGAAATAAAAACAATATATAACACATTACATTAAGAAATTAAGGAAATTATTTTCAATGTATACATTAATTTTTCTTCACTGACACTCTTAGTAAGAAAAACTGCAATCATATTATCAGTTTGTGAATATTCCAACTTAATGACATTGTCCTTCGTTAAGTCCTTCATAAAATGGAAATGTAAGTTCATGTGTCTGGATTTCGTCGAAGATCTGCCACAGTTGATCCACTGGATCAACTGCTCAGTCAAGCAGCAATAGATCCTGCTGCTTGACAATAGCTGCTTGATTGTAGCTTGACACTAGCTGCTTGACTGTCTGTATTCAAAGCCACTGCACTATCCAAAAATTGTTTACATTTTAATTCTGATAATAAATTTACAATCCATAGAATATCCTTACAAATTTCAGAAATAGAAAGTAATTTTGCTTCACAAATAGACAGACTAACACTTCTCTGCTTACGACATTTCCAAGAAATCAATGAACCTAGTAAAATAGTACCACCAGAAAATGACTTACCATTTTCTGCATTTCCCCAGCTAGCATCAGCATATGCATTTAAAACTCCAAAATCATTGCTATAGAAAAGTTATTTTTATTTTTTGTACCTTTTAAATACCTTAATACCCTTTTAGCCAAAAGATGTGTTTTTTCTAGTACATGATTAAATTGTGACAAATAAGTTGTTACAAATGATATATCAGGACGTGTTCTATTCGCTAAATATAAAAGTTCCCCAATTAATTCCTGATACAAAATTGCATCCATTTTTTTCATTTGTACATGAAAAAGCTTTATCTGCCACTTTAAATTGGCGTTTTTACTGTTTTACAATTTTCCAGATTTGGAATGGCTTTAAATTTACAAAATGCGTCAAACACTTCACTTTTACTTTTAAGAAAATAAGTAAAATACATTCCAGAAAAATCATCCACTAAGATCATAAAATATTTAGACCCACCAATTGATTCAGTTTGAACAGGGCCACATAGATCCGAATGAATTAATTCTAAAATTTCTAAACTCTAATTAATGTCTATATTTGGATAACGTTTTCTAGTTATTTTACTTATGTCACAAGTTTCACACTTAAAATCACTTAATCATTAATATCAATGTATTCTTTCATTTTTAGCATATATTTTGGATTTAAATGCACAATCTACTATGCCAAAGTTCGTAATTATTACCAGCACAATCATTAGTAATGCAAGATTCAGAATATAATATGGTTCTAAATTAACTTCAAGCCTACCGTTATTCTTAAATGCTTTAAAAAGTAATTCATTCACCTACTAAAAAACTAATATAGAACTATTCCTTGATTCAATTTTACATCCTTTATCCATTAAGGCAGTGAGTGACAATTAGTATTCTTAAATCAGGAATAAACTAACATTACTAATAGTTAAATTAATAACTAGAATTCTTTGTATTTATAGCTTTTGCTTTAACCGTACCAATACCTTCTGAAAATATTTTTGAATGTTTACCTGCCTGGTAAATCTCCCTCACCTCTGGTATAATATTCTGAAACCAAAAGAAGTCTTTTGCCATGTGTCCAGTTGCACCACTATCCAGCAACCAAATTTATCACATTCATCATTTTTTCCACGCGTAAGTTGAAGAACAAAATCATTTTCTCTTTCATCAGAACGAGATGAAACGTTCACACTTGTCGGTTGTGATTTCTTTCTTTCCTTGTTACCTTTGGATAACTCACTTTTTGGATTCTTGTTTCTGTAATAGCAGTCCTTCGCGATGTGACCAGGCCGTTGGCAAATGTAACAAATTCTTGGCTTATTTTTTATTCCTTCTTGATATGAACGCCTCTGCGTTGTTTCCATCAAGTCTTTTTCCGTTCGTTGAATTGTAAACGGACTCTTCCTCACGGAGTATTTCGAGTACTTCATCAATTGTTTTTTTACGCTGAGTTTTTACAATTTTTCTAGTTCGAGAGAATTTTCCACGAAGTCCACGGACTGCTTAAAACACCAGTTCCCGAGGAGATACCTCTAGTCCTAGCGATTGACACTTATTTGTTATTCCTCTCGCTCTTGCGATATAATCATTAGCCGACTCATGCAACTTCATTTTAAATTTTTTAACTCATACCAGCAATCTATTTTCGATCTCGGCTTGTCCCGTAAATGTTGACTTTTTTTTTCCCAAAGAAATTTTTGCATTCTCTTCTGTGGAAAACTGAAGCGCCTGTTGATCCGATAGTGAAAGTTTTATATATGCTACGGCGTCAGCGTTTTTCTCATTCCACAATCTTTCATCATTCTCGTCTAAGTTTTCTGGTTTTACTGTCGAAATTACCGAGTCAAGTCTTTTTAGTGATAAGGCAGCTTTAATTTTCAATGCCCAAATAAAACAGTTCTCTCCAGTTAATTCGGGAACGTTCCACTTCTGACAGGCAGACAAAGTAGACAGATGTCTTTTGTTGCACCCGCTAAGTCTTTCTGCACCGATGGGCGAAAAATCAAGCATAGGTGCGAAGGAAAGGTATATAGAAAGAGGGGTAATTTCGTATTTCAGAGGAGAGTAAAAAGGAACTTCGTATATTTTATACGAGTTTGAAAGGCCAGGAAGAAAAGACGGGACAAATTAAAGTAAAAAATAATTGGCCCAAAAGTAATGGAGAGGGGAAAAATTATATTTATAATTTAAAAAAAAGGGCTTATAGAAAGAAAAGGAAAGGAAGTAAAAGAATTTTATTAGAAAAAAAAAAACAAACCCACGATTGTGTCCATGAGTGTAGTCAAAGGAAGTTGTTATCATTTACATTAAATAGAGTCTTCCAGGTGTGTGTAATGAGTGTGTTTTGTAAAGCTGAATAGATGTAAAGATGGGGGAAAATTAATAATAAAATATAAATATTGGGGGTCCAGTCACATAACAGTCTAGTTTAGAAGCTAACTTTTGCTATAACAGAGAAACAAAAATTAAAAAATTTTTAAAATACTCTTTAATTTTTTAACATGGGAAACAATATGTTAGCCTCTACCTTGAGACACAGTAACAGAAGACACATAAGATCAAGATGCATATAATATCATGCAAAATTATACATTAACTTAAGTAACATCATCAATTGTGGTTTCCAACGTATTCATATACTCAGAAAACACCATCAGATAAAATCATAAATCTAAAACAAGGCGGGAACACATCAGCAAAAATAAATAAGTATATAAATAACAGAGTTTTTATTTTAATATAATTACTTAAAAAAAACTAAGCATTTATTTATTATTATGTTAATGGTCATAATTTATCATATGTGTTACTATTTATCATTTGGCACACTGTATTATATGCTTTTAATTTAAATAGATAAAGGAGCAAAACCGCAAATCTATACATTCATCCAGGGCCAAGATCGTGTTTTTTCTTTTCCCCTCTCAAGAAATTCCTCAAAGGGGCTGTGATGGGTAGTGCTAACAGAGGACACTACTGATAAGGGCTACTGATAAGGATAGCATCCCTACAAAATGGTAACCAAAAAAAAAAAAAAAAAAACACCACATGATATAAAGCAATTACTAAGAATTTAATGTCAGAATATAATAAAATAAGCATAATAATAATGAACATAGTAAATAAATGAATTCTTTAGGAACAGATATTTGATTTAGTTTAGAGAAAGGAAGTTCTACTTATCTGAATGTTCCGTATCGTGTTGTAAAAGATTACAAGGAAGATAAGACCTTTAGGTACAGGAGAACTTTCGGTTTTGAGAACGAGACAAGTAGAGGATATTCGCGAAAATGTTTCTTAAATAAATGAATATTTTCTGAAAAACATCTTTGAAAATTTAGGAGCTCTTCTAAGATCCTGCCTCCATCGTACGTGACCACAGCGCCCTAATCCTCCGGTATTAATTCATGTTAAGTGGGAACCAGCTCTGCAGTCAAACCAAAGGAGCGTTCCACTTCTCCATTCTTGGCTTCCATTAAGAGAGTTTCGGTTTCGACTTGGTATTTTATATCCAATTCTTCTTGGCAAAACCATGGAGCTGCTACCATTTGTTGTTCAGAGGCCAATATTTAGAGTAAAGGAGCCATCGATTTAGGACAATACACTTTATTTACACGAATAATGAATAAAAGGATCCCACAGAGAGTCATATTGACCATCACACAGCAAATAACATCTCAGCATCTCCGTACGCTCGAATGACGGATGTGTAGGGAGAACCCATCCCACAAGGGTATATAAAGAAGAAGTGAATGCTTCATAATTATCAACTAAAAGAACCTTCCGCATGTCCCTGTGTGCTGCATCGCTTTCAGAAATCTTCTCTACATATCAGCAGAAGAGCTTTTAATACTTTTATATGACTAATTACTCTTTTAAAAATAAGGAGTGATAGCGATAATAACGGAATACTTGAGATAACATAAACAATGAAAAATACAGGTTTCCAAAAGTTTTCTGGGAAGACGAAATGAAAGACTTCTTTTTGGATCTGACAGGAAATATTTATAAACTCTTTTCATAATAATTAAAATAAGTTATCTGAAGAAGCTAGTTCCTCGTTATTCAAACAATTAGTCTAAATTACTAGTTTTCTTATAACTGTATTTGATTTTTGGTACTTTTTATACGTATTGTTTGGCATCCAGTTTTATAAAATGATTTTGAATATTTAAAAATATTTATTTCAGATGCATTTGATACTATTTCAGATATTATGAGCAAGATAATCAAACGAAATAATCATCACCTACCCTTAAGTAACCAAATTTTATAAAGCCTTGAAACTAGAGCGGGAGATTTAATAACTGTAACCGCATTGGAATGCGGGGAAACTGAAAGCCAAACTGTTTTGTATATAGCTGAGAAATAATTTTGTACTTTTTATCATCATGGTGTTGATGAATTCAGGACGTTTTAAACGCGATCCACTGGCTTCTGGTGAATCATCATCTATAAAAGTAGAAGATACAAGTGAAAGACGTTTACAGCAGTCACTTTTCAATGACGAAATCGATGCCAAGTTTGGTTTCGTTCGTTACAAAGAAAGTGCAGAAAGAAAAGCTTGGTTATTCAACATGCACTCAACTGAAATATTAGATGATGATAAAAGACTAATTAGTGCTGTTGACTTTTATTTTGTAGAAGATGATGGCAGTAAATTCAAGGCTACTTTGCCATACAAGCCTTATTTTTATGTTTCAACCAATAAAGGTGCTGAACAAGAAGTAGCATCTTACTTAAATAAAAAGTACGGCGGTACCATTAGTAAAGTTGAAGTTGTTCTTAAAGAGGATCTTGATCTTCCAAATCATCTTTCTGGATTAAAAGGAAAATTTGTAAAACTAATGTTTTCCACTGTATCGGACTTGATGAAAGTAAGAAAAGAGATTATGCCTCATGTGAAAAAGAATAGAGAAAAACAAAAAAATTCAGTATCATTTCATGAAGTGCTGGAGCAAAATACAGAAGTAGCTACATCTAAGAAACATTTTGAACAAATTGATAGCATCATTGATATTCGAGAGTATGACGTTCCTTTCCATGTGCGTGTGTCTATAGACTTAAAAATTTTTGTTGGGCATTGGTATTTTGTAAGAGGCAAAGGTAATAATCCACCAGAAATTAAATTATGCAATGAATTGTTACAGCCTGTAGATGTAATTGTACTTGCGTATGATATTGAAACAACAAAATTACCGTTAAAATTCCCTGATATGGCCACTGATCAGATTATGATGATATCATATATGATTGATGGCCAAGGATTTTTAATAACCAACAGGGAAATCGTATCTTCTGATGTAGACGACTTTGAATATACACCAAAACCAGAATTTGAAGGTAATTTTACAGTTTTTAATGAAGCTAATGAAGAGCAGTTAATTCAAAAATTTTTCGATCATATACTGGAGGTGAAGCCATTAGTTTTTGTAACTTATAATGGAGATAATTTTGATTTTAAATTTGTAGAAGCTAGGGCTGCTGTTTATCAGTTGGATATGTTGAAAGAAATTGGTTTTTCAACGAGTCGTGATGGATATTATTTATCAAGACCCTGTGTTCACCTAGATTGTCTGCATTGGGTAAAACGTGACAGTTATTTACCAGTTGGGAGTCATAATTTAAAAGCAGTAGCTAAAGCCAAATTGAGATATGATCCCGTGGAGTTAGATCCAGAGGAGATGTGTCTCATGGCTGCAGAACAGCCTCAAGTATTAGCTAGTTATTCAGTTTCTGATGCTGTTGCTACTTATTATTTGTATATGAAATATGTACATCCCTTTATATTTGCTTTGTGTACAATTATTCCAATGGAACCTGATGAAGTACTCAGAAAAGGATCTGGCACTTTGTGTGAATCTTTGCTTATGGTTAAAGCATATCATGCAAATATCATATTTCCTAATAAGCAGGAAAGTGTATTAAACAAATTAACTGAAGATGGCCATGTATTGGATCAAGAAACATATGTTGGAGGACATGTGGAATCCCTTGAAGCTGGAATTTTTAGAGCCAATTTGCCCTGTAGATTTAGATTGGTACCCGAAGCTCTTCAGAAACTCATGGGAGATGTTGAAAGGACTTTAAAACATGTCATAGAAGTTGAGGAAAATGTTCCAATTGATCAAGTTTTAAATTTAGAAGAAGTAAAAGAGGAAATAATTGAAAAACTGAAAAAACTACGTGATTGCCCTTCTAGATTGGAGAATCCAATAATTTACCATTTAGATGTTGGGGCCATGTATCCCAATATCATTCTGACAAACAGACTTCAGCCTTCTGCAATGGTAGATGAGACTACATGTGCAGCTTGTGATTTTAATAAACCAGATGCCCAGTGTAGAAGAGCCATGCCATGGACTTGGCGAGGTGAAATAATGCCTGCCTCGCGGGGAGAATTTCAGCGCATTCAACAGCAACTTGAAATAGAGACATTTCCTTCCTCTGAAGTTAAAGGTAAAATGATTCCATTCCACGAGCTCAGTAAGGAAGAGCAGTGTGCTATTGAGAAGAAACGGCTTACTGATTATTGCCGAAAAGCTTATAAGAAAACACATGCTACTCGTGTAGAAGTTCGGAACTCAACTATTTGTCAACGAGAAAATTCTTTTTATGTTGACACTGTGAGAGCATTTAGAGACCGTCGATATGAATTTAAAGGCCTTTTAAAAGTTGCTAAAAAGAAAGTAGCTGAGGCTGTTGCAAAAGGAGATGCATCTGCAATAAAATCATCTAAAACTCTTGAAGTTCTGTATGATTCCTTGCAGCTAGCTCATAAATGTATCTTAAATTCTTTTTATGGATATGTGATGAGAAGAGGAGCTCGTTGGTATAGTATGGAAATGGCAGGTATTGTGTGTCATACTGGTGCTGGAATCATCACTAAAGCTCGTGAGATAGTAGAACAGATTGGTCGACCTTTAGAGTTAGATACTGATGGTATTTGGTGTATTTTGCCTTCATCCTTCCCTGAAAATTTCACTATTAAAACAAGTAACCCCAAAAAACCCAAACTCCACATTTCATATCCAGGTGCGATGTTAAACGTGATGGTCAAAGATCATAATACAAATGATCAGTATCATGAACTAATAGATCCCGAAAACCATGTTTATGAAATCCGCAGTGAGAATTCAATTTTCTTTGAAGTAGATGGACCATATTTGGCAATGGTGTTGCCTGCATCCAAAGAAGAAGGTAAGAGGTTGAAGAAACGATATGCTGTATTTAATTTTGATGGTTCTTTAGCAGAACTCAAAGGTTTTGAAGTCAAAAGGAGAGGAGAACTGCAGCTAATTAAAATATTTCAATCTTCTGTTTTTGAGGCATTTTTGAAAGGAAACACTCTTGAAGAATGTTATGCAGCAGTAGCTAAAGTTGCTGAATATTGGCTAGATGTTTTATACTCTAAAGCAGCAAATATGCCCGATAAGGAATTATTCGATTTAATATCGGAAAATCGTAGTATGTCTCGTAAACTTGAAGAATATGGAGTACAAAAATCAACTTCTATAAGTACAGCAAAGCGATTAGCGGAATTTCTTGGTGATCAGATGGTTAAAGATGCTGGTCTTAGTTGCCGTTTTATTATTTCCAAGAAACCTGAAGGCTGTCCAGTGACAGAACGAGCAATTCCTCTTGCAATATTCCAAGCTGAGCCTAGTGTGAAAAAGCACTATTTAAGAAAATGGTTAAAATCTCCTTCTTTGTCAGATTTTGATATACGCTCTATTTTAGACTGGGAGTATTATATAGAACGTTTTGGAAGTGCTGTACAAAAAATTATTACAATTCCTGCTGCCTTACAGCAGGTTCCTAACCCTGTTCCTCGGTGTTGCTCATCCTGATTGGCTGCACAAACGACTTTTAGAAAAAAATGATACTTTGAAGCAGAAGAAAATAACTGAAATATTTTCGCATAAAGCAAAGCCAACTAATGAAGAATCGTATGGGGAGCAAGTTATAGATATTGAAGATCAAATTCAGCCTTCAACTTCTGCAGTTGGGGTTCCTGTTTGTTCTAAACGCAAAGCAACATCGGAAGCTAAAAATAGCAAAGCTTCAAAAAAGAGAAATACTCTCAGTGATTCAGATTTAAGTAAGACTTGGCTGGAATACCTTGGACCTCCACCTCCACTTGGAAAAACCAGACCTGAAATTGTTAATTGGTTAAAATACCAGAAAAAGAAATGGGCATTTCAAATACAACAGAGGAAAAGTCTGTCAGCTAGGAAGTTTAGTAAGGAATCATCAGCTATTAAACCTGTTTCAGGTGTTGATAGAAATCGAGTGGGAATAGGTCAGTTTCTGAGAAAAGCTAAAAGAACTTTACTAGATAGTCCATGGCAAATTATACAGATTTCTGAAACTGGTCAGTTAGGCATTTATAAACTATGGGTTTTAATTGAGAATGATTTACATAGTGTCAAATTAAACATTCCTAGAATATTTTATGTTAATCAACTTAATTCAAAGCTAGGTGAAAGTGATTTATGGAAAAGAGTAAACAGAATTTTGCCTCGGTGTCATCCTGTTTATAATTTATATGAGTACACTGTGGACGAACAAATTTATCAGCAGCATTGTAATGATTTGCTGGCTGAACTGTCTTTACCTCATATTGAAGGTGTATATGAAACACAACTTCCACTTGTATTTAGAGCTCTAATTGAATTAGGGTGTGTTTGTGCAGTCAGTCGTAAGTTTGTCAGGCATTATGCCTCCTCTGATACCGATACTTACCATCTTCGCCATTTGGAGTTTCGTACTCTAGCTGGACATAATTATTTAGAAGCTGGAGCTTTAAAATTATTATATTTATATCACCATTCTTGTGGGCAAAAATCTATGTTTGGATTCTTTTTTCCTCCTTCCAAGCGAGCTGTCATTTATGTTTTAGATACTGTCAAAACAAACCAAATGCCTAATTTGGGAAATATATTCGCAGCCGAACGTAATGCCAAACTTGCAAGTGGAACTGATATTAAACTTTTACCTGAATCTGATTACCAATTTGAAATTCATATAGAAAAAGATATTAAACAAGTGTATCGTGGTTTGCAGAAGAATTTAATGTTGTATAAAGATGAGAAACGAGGGCCAACAGCTGTTGTTATTCAGTCTCCCAAAACTGCTGAAGATATATGTTTGTTAATGCCCGTTTTTTCAGAATTTCCAATTATTCCAATTCATATTCATGACAGTGATACACTCTATCAAGTTATGGATTGGCAACGAGTAGGTTCTAAAGCTATGATCAAACATTTTATGAATGTAGATTCAACTATAACTGTTCTTCTTGAACAGTGTCGTTATTTTCATGTGCCTATTGGAAATTTGCCACAAGATGTAACTATGTTTGGAAGTGATATCTTTTTTGCTCGACATTTGCAAAAGCAAAATTTCATTCTTTGGTGCTCACCAACAGAAAGACCTGATTTAGGTGGAAAAGAAGCAGATGACAATAGGCTTTTGGCTGAGTCAGAGACTACTCTTGCAGAAGTGAGCAAAAGTGATGCCTATCCTAGTGTTTGCTTGGAAATTTTGGTAGATGGTATCCCTGTTTCAACTGTACTGGAAGCTCAAAATTTAATGGAGATGGAAGGTACGAGCTCCAGCATAGCATTTGATTGTGGTCCTTCCTCCTCATTGGCAGATATGATGACAGGTGGTGCAAACCCAGCACCTTTAGGTGTATATGATGAAAGTGCTGTCTGTGCAGGTGCATTTCGAGTCCTCCGAACTATGGTTACTGGATGGGTTCATGATGTATTAGAGTATAAAAATGTTTTTGCAGATAACCAGATTATCAATTTCTATAGGTGGTTAAGATGCCGCCAGGCTTTGTTATATGAACCAGCTATCAAACAGATATTAGATAATCTCATGAAAAAAATGTTTACACAACTAATTCACGAATATCAAAAGTTAGGTGCTATTGTGTTATATGCATCTTACAATCGATTCATTATATGCACAAAACGAAAAAATGTTGATGATGCAATAGCCTATGCTCAGTATGTTAATCAGTGTATCAGGAACAAGGAAATTTTCCACTGCTTGCAGTTCGAAGTAGAGGCTTGCTGGGAATACTTATTGTGGTTAGATACTGCAAACTATGGGGGTGTTAAAATAAAACATGATGCATTGGGTGAACAGTCAAATGAAGTTAGAGCAGATGACGATAACAAAGTAGAAAGTTCAGATAACCAAAGTAATGAAAACGATAACCGTACCCTTACATTATGCTTTCATATTGCAAATTTTCTACCTCAAGTGGCTGCTATTAAGGAAAATTTTTATAACGTTGTGGCTGAGTACATTCAAGAGGCATATACTTATTATAAGGAGCAAGAAAATTCATTAATGACTACTGTAGAACCAAGTCAGGAGCCAGAACAAAGCGAAGATTCTGAAGACAATTCTACAGAACTTATGAAATATGTGAGAAGCAATCTTGCCCATAAACTTTATATTTTAGTAGAAAAAATTAAGAAAAAGTTACCATCTGGTACTCTACCAAATGGTCAAAATGTATTTCCTGTTGTACCTGGTTCTTATCTAAAGTTAACAAATCCTTCTTTAGAATTCACCAAAGCTGTGTGCAAGGTATTATCTTTAGATAGTCGTTTAGCTGATGTTGTCTTGAAATTACGTCGAGATCTTTTGAGGATTGTTGGAGTTAAGGAATTTAGTGATGAAGCTGAATGGAAAGACCCTTGTCTTTCTTTTATGCTTGCAGAAGTCATATGTAAAGTGTGTTTTAGCTGTAATAATATTGATTTATGCAGAGATCGGTATATGATTAATGAGGCTACAGGTTCTCCTCTCTGGATGTGCGACATTTGTAAATCACCATATGACATTAAAGAGATAGAGAGTATGATGATAGAATGTATTCATAAGAAATCCATGGCACATATTTTGCAAGATCTCCAATGCATGAAGTGCAAGATGATTAAAGACAGGAATATGACAAGGTTTTGTTCATGTGCTGGCAGATTTGATACTTTGCTGCCTATAAATGATTTGAGTCAAACTCTTGCTACATTTAAAAACATTTCAGACCATTTTCAGATGAAAAAACTGAAAGACATTGTTTTGTGGGTAGAAAAAATGAATCCTCAAATAAAACTTCAGAGTTAATTATATTTTATTTTATGTATTGCTTTTTTTGCTATCAATTTGATTAATTTTAATATTCTTGTATAGTAATAATTAAATATTAAACAATATTTCTGCCTTTCAATTTGTTTATTAAACTTCTACAAATACATGTGGTATGAGGAAACAAAATTTTCTAATGAGAAATATTTATTATTTTTTTAATTAAAATATGCTCTTGCAACAGCTGTATTAAATTTTGATTGTTTAATATACTTATGGTAAGGATTAATGATAGAGCCATAATTTTTTATCTGGATATTTGCACTAAATATTTTGGAACACTCATGGTTACCTGAAAATAATTTGTCATCAGAACTGTATATCTAAATTTACTGAAGGAAATACCTTGAATTTGTTTCTTGATGTCCAATTTATTATTTGGTTTAGAAAATGTATTATTGATCTTCTAGGTTTTGTAAGAACATCTTAAATAATTATTATGTGTACATTACTATGAATAAAAGCATGTGGGAAGTATTAGAAAATACATTTTCAAATAATACTTTTGCTGCTTTTATTTATACGGAATTCTGAAATTTTTCTGTTATTAAAAATACCATTTATGAGCTAAGTTTAAATATCTACACACTTTGAATATCTTACAATTCTTTTCAAATTTTATAATGGTGTTTTTTGGTGAATTTTCATGTTATTATATATTATTCATCTTGTTATATTCATGTCTTCCATGCTTTTTAATAAATGAAAGACTATGAATAATAATTCTTTTTAAATTAAGTATAAAATAATACTGCTCATTTGATATCAGACTAAGTGATAAAATGCAAATGCTAAAAATGTTCCTTTAAACAATTCTTTTTACCTGCTTTTGAAAAACTGATGAGCACAATTGAAAAGTTTGGGCAATTTAAACTGACATCATGTAATAAATGATGCATCTGCATAACACTATTTTTTATAATTAATTTTAATTTTTATTAGTTAAATAATTAAGTAAAATTTTATAAATCACAATATATGATACCAATATATACAGTGGCTCACATTTGTTTTCAGACTCTTGTGTTTTTCAGTTTTATTTCCGAGTATTAATTATGACAAAATGACTGATTTTCTTTAATATATACTTTAAATCATTTTTTTTTAAAACCTGCTTGTTTTTTTTTTTTTTTTTTTTTTTTAAATTATTTGCAACATTTTTTTGTAAAAAAAAAAAAAAAATATGTAAAAAGTTTTGAAAATGAATTGAGATAAGTATTTGGACACTTTGAAAAAGCAGTTTAATAAAATAATGGAATATCTTATACTTCATTAGATATCCTTTAGCCAAAATTATACTTTTCATGTGCATTATGCAAATACATCTTGGCATGGATTGAACTAATTTTTTTGTGTAAGAATGTTCCATTTTGTTCCATTCCTCCAAAATAGAGCTTTCAAAGAAATGTTTACTTATTCTTTTTCCTAAGTTTCCCATACATGTTCTGTAGGCTTCAAGTCTGAATAATAGAGACTGGGTTTTGATAACTTCAGGACAGTTGTATTATAATCATAAGCAAGCATTTAGGATTGTTATTCTGATAGAAATTGAATGTATTTTTCATTCCAGATGTTCTTGCAATGCTTTCAGATTTTCATTAAGAATATTTATGTATTTATTCCAATACATACTATTTTTTATAAAAGATAAATGTCCCATTTGAGAGGTAGCAAAATGTATTCAAACCATTATGCTTCCATCTTCATGCTTAACAATAGGCAATAAATTTTTTTGGATTCAGTTCACTTCAGAACTATTCAATCATTAGACCGAAATATATTAAATTTCGACTTGTCTGCAAATGTAACATTATATCAATATAATAAATCTTTGCTTACCTCAGATTTTGCAAACATCAGGTATATTTTAATTTTTTTCTTCCTGACAAAGAATTTTCTTGACTAAGAATTTCCCTATTATATCCATGTGCCCTAATGACTTTTCCAACAGTTGTAGGGTTAACTTTTATTGTGAATTGTTCTTCGAAACCCACTACAAGTTTTGGATTTTCATTAGATTTTTTTTAGGATAAATCCCCAATTAATTTGTTGTTATCTTGGAATATGTCCGAGTTTCAGTGAAGTTTGAACGGTTCCACATAATTTCTGTCATTTTAGTACATCAAAAATAGTTGAACACTTTGTATCAAGGACTTTTTTATCATCTTTAAAATCTTGAATGTTAAATTTCGAACAGAATTTGTTATTAATTTGTAGTGTCTTGCGATATTTGTAGTGTCAGTTATGAAAATGTTGCTATATTTTGCTAAACAAGTAATAATATCCAAATGCAAACAATAAATCTTGTGATGTATTTTTGTTTAAAATAGAAAAGTATGAGAAGATACAATTTCCAAAGCTTATCAACAAAATTTTCATGCGTCCGAATTGTGTTACTGATTAACTTTATTGGAATAAATTAATTTATTGCAAATAATATTTTGAGGATGTTTGTTTTGTAACAAACAAGTCTTAAAATAAAGAAGTTATACATTAGGAAAAAATTTGAAGTCTCTGTTATAATATTAATACAAGATTTATATGGAAATAAATTTCAAATATATAAGTGCCAAGAAACAAATGTGACCCACTGTATATGTAATTCTAGCAAAAGTTGAGTATCTAAGATAGTAAAATATTTCATTCTAGATTCTTAATGAGTGAATGGGTTGCCTGTATCTGATTTTCTTGGTTTTCCTCAAGTGCAATACGAATATGAGCCAGTTTTTTTTTTCTAGAAAGTCCCTTATGAAGGCACTTTTTTATTCAGGAAATAACCAACCATATCATCAGTTAATAGAAAAGAAATCACATTTAAACAGTTTTTGCAATTTTGACTATTTCTTGTTTTGCCATGAACTAAACAAATAAAAATTGATTTATATCAATTTTGCACTATTTTACACATTCTATTTTAAGGATTTTTTTTAAAGATTCTTTTATTAAAAAAAAAAAAAATTCCTAGCTTTATGATCTAAAAAAATTAAGATTAAAATTGTTCACATATGCTGCACTGATGGGTATTTATGAATATTCCTGGGACATATGTGAACAAAAATGGTTATAAAACAAATATGCCATTAAAAATACCATTTTTATTTCCATTTCCATACATTATTATTTTGTTCTATACTAGATCTTAAGTTCATCAAGTTTTGAAACAAGCAAAATAATAACATCTACAATATTACTCTCTGCAGTGTCATTACGATTAGGGCAGTTATAAAAGAGGTCTTTTTTAGTCTTCTAAGCCAAGCCATATAGCAGGTATATTGATGAATTTAGTAGTCTCATATAATGGAGATACTTTTGTAAGTAATGACCAGGTCTGACAAGTAAACCTTCTCTCCTTTGATACCAGTTTTTCGGAAACCCATATATTTTCTGAAAGTTTATGTCACATTTGACGCCCCTTGGATGCTGCGCCCGGGGTCAGATGTCCCCCCTTGCCCCCACCCTAGCTACGCCACTGACAATCAGGTACTTTGGAAGCAAACAATGAATGAACATACAAGAAATAGAGACATCATTACAAGAATATGTCCATCTGCCCCTGAGCCTTTACAGTTTTTTTGCTTGTGACATAAGCTTTCAGAAAATATATAGGTTTCCGGAAAACCAGTATCAAAGAAGAGAAGGTGTACTTGTGAGATAAAAATGTGCCCTACCTTATATAAGCTCTATATGGGGTTTTCTACTTTATATGAGCTCTATCTGTGGTATGGGTAACCTGGATTTTCATTAAGAAATCCCAGGATGCTTTAGTCAGTTTTTGAAAGAGGTCTCCCTGATATAAATCGGAAACGGCCATGGCCAAGTCGTTTCCATTAATGCCAAAATGGCTGGCGATCCATTGTAAAGCAATATATTGTCCATCTTTAAAAGAGAGTCGAGAACAATCTGCCAGTCATAAAGTGATTTTTAACCACCAAAGGACACAGAATATCCATGAAAAGTTATAATATAATTCGGTTATGTTATTTATCTTGTAAATTCCACATTTAATTCAAATTTAAAAACCTATATATATTCAAACTGTAAAATAATTAAAATATTCATCTCTTGCTGAACTGTTGGTGCCAATTTATTTTTCACTTGTATGTAACAATTGAAATTGCATTTTATCAAAACTGAATCAGTTTACATTTAAATTCATCTCATTGCATGAAGCACTACAGTTGATTATAATTTATATTTTGATTTGGATAGGGGGGATTTCAGAGCTGTTTTCAAAATTTGTTTCAATTCTTGTCTAATATATATGTATTTTGTTTTTCAGTTGCTGTTGTGCAAAGGTATGTAATTTTTTTATTTTGTAGTCTTTTAAGAACATCATTGTATTTTATTACTCTTAGGAAAAGGCTTTTTCTGTAGACACATTTTATATGAGAAATGAACCTTTCCATATTGTTTGGAAGATGCACAATATATTCTATATATGTAATATATTCTACATATATTTATAATATGCATTGCTAATAAGTTTTTTTAATGTATTTTTATCAGATTAATATAACAATAGACTTTTTTATCTACTATCATGACTTTCTTTAAAATAAATTATTATTTATCAATTTTAAATTCTTAATCGAAATTAGAAAAATAATACTGCAGTATATCATATTGTAAAGTATGTCAGAGTTTCTTTATTATATTCATTCATTTATTTTTAAATGCTAAGAATTTCTATAGAATGATCTATTAAACTGATAGAATGATCAATATAACACCCTTTATTTTATGTATTACGTGCAAGTTAAAAAGCCATGCTAAGTAAAAGATCCATTTTAATCATCTCCAATACATAAATATGTATTTATATATATAGAGAGAGAAAACCTTCCAAATCAAATCAAACTTGAGGTATGTTTTAGAAACAGTAATTAAAATAATTTTCAAAATTATGTGTTTTTAGCTAACCATTTGCTACCCTAATGCACATACCTGCTTTTATTTCTAAAGATTTAAAAATCTGTTTTTTATGTTGTAATTCTAAATTAAAAAAAAAAAAAAAAAAAATCTAAAGTCACAATTTAAGATTTATTGTAACATTTTTTTTTTAAAAAATCAGGAAGCAATTTATATATTTGCTTGTAATGAAAGTTTTCCGCCAAAAAACGTTCTTAAAAGTTTTTTTTTTAAAAAAAGCATAAAAGCAGTATTTTTAGTGCAGGTACTAATCACTACCCAAATCTTTGATTTTCTGCCAGTGTTTGGGTAGCTTTTCAAAGCCTTCGTCCTAGAAACTTGGTGGCCACGAGTCCAAAAACAGATCAACCTCATTTCAGATGTCCTGTGCAGAATGGAAGATAGCATCAGCAAGATATAGCTGCAGGTGTGAAAAAAGGTAGAAGTCCAAAGGAACAATGTCGGGCGATGAATATGCATTCAAAATTTAAATGCTTTAGAACTGGACTGTATTTCACCTAGATATTATCACAAATATTTTCAGGATAATTAATTATTCTATTCATAGAAACACTTTATAAAAAACAGTTTTAGAAGGAAAAGCAAAAATTTATATGGTCAACATTTACATTTTTATAGTCATTGGATAATATTCAACAAAGTGGTTGTTAAGTATGTAGTGTGTAAATCCATGTGCATGAATTGGCTGCATGCACACTCAAAAATATGCCCAAAACACAACAGTTGCTAAATATTGAAACTAAGGGTGTGGATCATCAGTAAATATAAAATGATAACTTGGTTATCCCTCATAGTTTAGTATACAGCAAATTTTGATCTTTCAATATTTTATGTAGCAACTAATGCAGCTGTTAGAGTCTCAACACTTAACCCAGATTCCTCCTTTGTCCACATGTTTTTCATAACAAAGAATGTTCTTTCAGCCAGTGCAGTAAAACTCTATAGTGTTACAAAAGTCTTGAAAATTTAGGAATCTTTCACTGATTTAAAAAAAAAAAAAAAAAAAAAAATTACCATCTCTTCTATACAGGAATATTCTCTTTATTCCAGATATCTAACTTGCTTTCATTTACCATAACTTAAGGGCAATCACTTATCAAACATTCTAATTTCTTTTGTTTTGCAGGGTATGATGAGTACTTCAGTTGAGCTGCCCTGTGTCCCTTTTTATTCAGATGGTTTCTTTAGCAAGTCTCACTTGAACTTCCAGTATTTTCTAAATTATATTTCTATTTGTGAATTTATTTTTAACTACTCATAGAAATTTTTAACTGGTGGGGGGGAGGAAGAAGGATTTATTAATTTCTCCTAAATTTACTAACATTTTTCTTTTCTTTTACACAATTATTACATATACAAGAATTTAACTTTCTGTGGAACCTACTTTCTTTGCCAGATTTATTGATTTATTTTTGAAGTTGAAAGTAAATTGGCTTTTGCAATTAAGGAAATATGTTTGAAACCAAGACATCTGATCTCCTGTAAAAGACTATTCAAACAGATTCAAACAAAACTATTTCAAACAGAAGCCTCTAAATATTTTTTCATTAGGAATGAAAGGAGATATATATGAAGCTGATCAAACATACTTTGATATATCGTTACTGCTTATGAAACAGTCATTTTTGATTGATTAGTGACCAAGCATATTTATATTCTTTATTAAAAATCGGTCCAAAACTATTTTTATTAAAACAGTTAGTTGGCCAAGAAATGTCATAAAAATGGCACTGTCTAATTTAAGGAGTGTTGTGTGCTCAGCCTAAATTTAATGTTAATAAATATAAAATTCATTGCTTATTTTATGAGATATGCTGAATTGTCAACTTGAAAATAAATATCACTCCCAGTAGCACAAAAAACAGAAATTCTCTAATTGAACGTTGATATTTTATTTCTTCCTATATCATGAAAAATTAAAAATAATTAAATAAACAATTTAGGAATGTGATGAATCATTTACTGATAGCTGTTTCATAATATGATTCAAGTTTAGATGGTAAATTATGCCATGGTGAATTAAAGACTGTTTATTTCAAACTTTATGTTTGTATTAATAGTTAAAATATTTGGCAGTGCTTTGGTTAATTCCTTGAAGCAAAGCAACTGTTTGATCAATCACAACCTTTGCGTGATTTTTCAATAAGGGACATAATGATGTGCATTAAAACAATTATTTGTCCTTACACAATACACTGACTACCAATAAGTATTTGGACACCTATGCAAATGACGATATCTGCGGTCCTAAGGTACGTCACGGACTCCGCCGGTATGTATCGTGTAGGAAACAGCATTGGCTTTAGTCGCATGCAAGATGCCTCGCAGTTCGGGAGCTCTCTGATTTCGAGAAAGGTAATTATCAGGTATCACAAATGTGGCCGATCTTAAAGGCATATCCTCGCGCTCTGAAGTACCCAAAATCGACAGTGGCCTATGTGATTAAGAAGTGGAAGGTGAGCGTGATTGTCGGAATGTGCTCCGAGTCGGCAGACCAACGAAACTGGGAGATAGAGACCGACGAGTGCTGTCCAGAGAAATTCGGAAGAACCGCACCCAACCGATGGCCCTCATCTGCGAGGAGTTTCAACAGGCATCTGGGAGTAATGTTTCAATGAATACCATCCGTAAGGAAGCACATCTGCCTTGGTTTTCATGGTCGTGCTGCTGCCCATAAGCCTTTGATCACAAAGTCCAACCGTGCTGCTCGCTTAATGTGGTGCAAAGCACATCGAAATTGGACCGTAGATCAGTGGAAACAGGTTCTTTGGAGTGACGAATCAAGGTTCACCCTTTACCGTTCGGATGGCAGGGTCTGGGTCTGGCGTCTACCTGGAGAACTTCTCCTGCAGAATGCATTGTGCCAACAGTCAAGTTCGGCGGAGGTGGAATTATGGTCTGGGGGTATTTCTCCTGGTATGGGCTGAGACCCTTGGTCCCCATTCATGGTAAGCTTAACTCCGATGCCTACTGCACTATTTTGGATGTCAGTGCAGTTTCACAGGTTGGACCCCTTTTACTTTCAGGACGACAATGCCAGTTGTCATGTTTCGGCGTTAACCAAGGCTTGGTATGGTGCCAATGGAGTTCATCGAATGGACTGGCCTACCTAGAGTCCAGACCTGAACCCTATCAAGAACCTCTGGGACGAGTTGCAGTGCCGAATTCAGGGGTGCACTACCTGTGCAAAATCGGTGAAGGAACTTCTGTGTCTTCTCCAAGCCGAGTGGAAGAAAATACCACTAGCTGTCATACAAAGACTTGTGCAAAGTATGCCCCGGAGAGTCCACGCTGTAATTACCTCTCGTGGAGGCTCTACCAGCTATTGATTTTGAATAAAGTTAGTTTTTCTTTTCTATTACAGGTGTCCAAATACTTATTGGTAGTCAGTGTATATTAGCATATTAATCATAGCTTTGAATAATATTTCTCTTGAAATTAGCATTATGTGATGTGAGAATTATTTGTTCTTGATAACACAGAAAGTAAACATAACAGGGCATTTAAAATTTATGTGTATCTTTCAAATACTTTGTCTCATTTACCATGCCCTCCTATAGTGTTGCCTGTATTATCCATATGGTAACTAATGAGAAGCACTCTGGCTGCTGTAAAATTAAGCAGTTCTTTCTTCCTTTAATATGCACAGTATCTATCAGTAGTAAATTTGTAATGTGAGCTGTGTTTACTTATGCCCAATGTGGTCCATAACTGTAATGCGATTGTTAGAGCTTGTTGATTACCATGAAAAGGTTAACATTTAGTATTTAGCTGTAAAAGAAGATCTGTTGAAGATAAACTACAATAGTGCATCTTTAATCCTCTATGGATGCTGACTCATAGTCTTATCTGTAATATTCATAAGAGGCCAGGATTTATACTGTATGGAATAATCATTAGAACTTATTTTATATTTTTTATTTTCAGAGTTCTGCTTGTAGGTTGGAGTTTTGTGTGAATTGTATGTTTTATTTTCTTTTAAATTTTATTCTCAAGCAATTTTAAAAACAGTTCTAGCTGATCCAGTGTGCTTGCAACAAAACTATGACTCTAAACATTTTCGGACCTCACCTGGTGGCTATTTAACTGAAGATATAACTCAGGACTTATGTAAGAAATTATGTGGAGAACAGTCTTTTCCATATATTGGATTGGTATCTGGATCATACTGTTTATGTGGAAATGATACAAATGGTAAGTAATATAATGTGAAATTATCTGTTCCTTAAAAATCTATATATTTCTGCATTAAAATATAATTTTTTAGGGGATGGGAGAATAAATATTACTTCCAAGAATGTTTTATAGTGGATTGAACATAATTCAAGACATAATATAATTATCAGAGTTTGTATACATGCCTATTCAAGACATACTAATCATCAGCATTTAATATCTTTTAAACTTCTAATATATATATATATGAATATGCAAGTTAAGCATTTTCGACCGTACAATAAAACTGGTTATATAGATCTAAGAATGGAAATTTAAGACTTTTGATATTGTTGAAAGTTATTTTATTATTTGTAAGTGAAAACTAAACATACTGGAGGAAGTCTTGTATGTTTTATGAATAAGTAAATGTTACCCTCTAAATGTCTTAGATAAAAAGTTTGAAATGCATTAGAAACACATGTGTATGTTACTGTAAAGCAGATTAATTAAATAAAATGGTTGTATTGTTGAATTTTATGAATAGTGTTATAAAATGTTAGCCTGAGTTGTGGAAAGTTAAAGAGAACTGATGTTTTGGGTCTATTATGAATTTCCTACAAATATCTGTTGATTTTATTTGTTGTTCATTAACAAGGTTCATGCCTAGTTTAACATCTGGAAATCATTGTAACTAGTATTTTGTATGTAAGGTAAAAAGCTTTCTACTTCATCTAATGACTACAGTAGGGAACTTTCTAGTTGTTTCCTAGCATATAGTTGCATATTCATAGCATACCGAAATTCTGAACCCATTACTGCATAAATTTTAATAACTTTCTTTTGTAACTCTGATGGTATGCATTCCTTGAAATAGCATTCATCTTATGAAACCCTTCAAGTTTCTTGTTGCTGATTTCATTCACAAACCTGAAACCAGGGCTCTGGAGTCGGAATCAGAGTTGGGTAGATTTTTGGGTAAAAGGAGTCGGAGTCACTAAAAACACATAGACTCGGACTCCAACTCCAGTTTTTGTTGAATAGTTTGAATTTGAAATGAAATTAAAGTGAATTGAAAAAAAAAAAAAATTAATGACAAACTGAGTTAATATTTTTATTTATGGACTATAATACATTAATAAATAGTTATTTTCTATTTTAGTGACATATTAATAAATAAATATAAGGTAGCAGGATGGATGTGATATTTGCCATTATTGATTAAACTGATTTATTTAGTTACAAATCTCACTGGTTAATTTAGGTAAGCAGCAATAGCAGCAAGAACTCCCAAAATTGATGCCATTTTTAGGAAGCGAGGAGGAAAAGGAGCCATTATTGATGCTATGCCAGGGATAAATAGAAACGCGATGCCAGGGATAAATAGAAGGGCTAGGTCATTCCTTTGTTCGTTTCCTCGCTGATGCGAGCCTCATGGAGGGGGTTAACTGGAAGTAATCTGACGTGTCTGTGTTGCACCTGCTCTGATTTTGCACATTTAAAACTGTAGTTTCATTCAGTTGCGAGACGATTTTCTGGAGGTTGCATATCCCAAATTAATTTTAATCTACGAGGGCAATCCCCCCCCAAAAAAGGTCTCCTATATTTTTAGATATACAAAGAACCGTATATTTTCTATAATTGCTACATCACTTTAAAGACTGAAGAATGCTTTATTTTTCAACATAATCGCCATTTTGGTCGATGCAATTTTTGTAGACGCTGTGGCAGTTTTACAATGCCCATGTCATACCAGCTTGCCGCTATGCCCTTCAGGAAGCGTTGAACCTCATCTTTCACCTGATCATCGGAGCAGAACCGCTGTCCAGACAAATGTTCTTTCAACTTAAGGAACAGGTAGAAATCGATGACGTTCCAACCAATATTTGGAAGGAGATCGACGGTTTGATGGGCGACATGAGGACGGCGTTCTCGTGGAGAATGCTTACACCCTTGCTCAACATCCCTCTTCTCCGGTTCTGAATTGCCCTTCCGAGTTTCTTCAGTGTTTCACAGTACCTGTCAGCGTTGACTGTTGTCCCAGCAGGCGAACAAGACATCCATGCACGACTGACTGTCCATACACTTCCGTCAATAGGCGGTGAATTTCAACCGGTTAATGCCTTTTGCGTTCAAAAATCAAGTAACTGCACGCACTTTGCACTTGGCGGTAACACGTTTATCGGGAGCTCCATTTCGAATGGCTGCAAAGCCAAGACTGAGCATCCGAGCGAAGCGCCTGCGTGCTTATGTGGTAGCGGAAAAGGCACCACTCACAACAGTGTTGCCAACAACCGTATTAAAACCTTCTCTACGTCCCCAAAAAACAGGAGACCTTTTTTTGGGGGGATTGCCCTCATACATATTTGTTTTCTAATAATGCAAATATTTAACCTTTTGACTGCTAAGCAATTCTTGCAAGAACGCACGAAAACTGTGGGTTTTATTTGACTTGATGTTGTCAAAAAAAAAAAAAAAAAAAAAAAAAAAACACTCGCATTTAGACAAATATCAATAAATTCTTTTCATATTATGAAGCAACAAAGACACACTGAAACTCGCAGCACTTTTGCGCCATGTAGCAGTCAAATGGTTAAAATAATTTGTGTGTATATATATATATATAGTTTTAGTCAATTTTCCTTTTAAATTCTATATTTAAAGTATTCTTTATGCAATATGGCTTCTTGTGCTGTAGCAATGTGCAGTAACACTTATAGAAATACGAAAGGAAAAGATATTGTATTTCATGCTTTCCTAAAGGACAGTTTGCTTTTGACGAAAGAATGGATAGATGTCGAAGACAGGATTCTATTAATGTGAAAAACGCAATAATTTGCAGCGAACATTTTCTGTGCAGTGATTATGAAGATAATATGAGAAATTGCTTGCTTGGATTGCCGCAAAAGAAACTGTTGAAATGCAATACTGTGCCGAAAGTAAATTTATCGTGTGCAGTAAACGAAATAATAATTAGAGGATGGAACTGTTTTAAATGTTGATATTATTAAAGAGGTTTTAAGTAGAGATTCAGGAGAAATTAAATTGTGTCACAAAATAAAACCAAATTATTTAATGGTCAAGAGAAATGAGAGACAAAAAGTCGCTCCAGCGAAAACATTATTTTCAAGAACTACCACAAAAGGTATACTCCACCTCACAGGAAATCAAAAAACATCTGACTTCTTTGAGTTAATCAACAATTTTTTCTATGTTATGAATAGTACCAAGCCATACCCTCCTTCAGATAAAATACTTAAAGCAGCATTTGGATTAAATGAACATCATGAAAAACAAATTGAAGTTTTGGAATTAATGAAGAAAGTCATTGGTGGATTAAGAGTTCAAGGAAAATACAACATACTTACTGCCTTTCCAAAAAGGAATAATAATTTCAATAAATTCACTTTTTGGCCTACACTAGGATTGAAATCATCGTATGATGCTAAATATATTTTAACCTCTAGATTAACTCAGGATGCACCTGAAAGTCTCTTTAGTCAGATTCGAGGGTTTGGTAGGTTTAATGACCATCCATCACGTAGTGAAGTTATACACCGCTTAAAGCAATGAATACTTGTTAATAAGCTGCCAAATTTATCTTCAAAAGTGTGCATGACTAAAGAAAGCAGATTCACATTTAATATCAGAAATACTTTGAAAGGGCTTTGAAAACTGAGGAGGAAGATGCTTTTCCATTAAATACTATTGATGATTTGGATTTGGATTTCATAGAGAAACCTTCCGCTATGGCTTTGGAATTAGAATTGAATTTTGACAGACAATTTTCGACCGCTGAAAAAGAAGCATTAACATATATTGCAGGTTATATTGCCTACCATGTGCGAGACAAAGACCCATCATTTGGAACAATATCTAAAAATAGTGCTGATGAACCAATATTTAATTCAGAATGGATTAAATTATTGCCCTTAGAAGGTTTCTCTACACTCAGAATGGATTAAATTATTGTCCTTAGGAGGTTTGACTACACCTTCCCATTCATGGATGAATACGGTTTACGAGTTCAAAAACATATTTTGTGCAATTCATGGTACAACTTACTATAAAGGGAAGCATGTAATTGACTCTTTAATTAATAAACTAGAAGCATATCCGAGCAAACAGAGAAGCAATTCGTTTATTTGCAGAGTGGGAACTTTTATTAGAATATGTTTCTTAATAGAAATGCATATGTTTTCCCAAAGAAAAGCAACCCAAAAGGCAAAAAGGTGGATTGCTCGAATGTGGCAGCCAATAAATAATATTTCAACAACTTTTGCATTGCGACTGTACAAGTAGCATATACTAAATATGTTTTGATTTGAAATATTTCTAGATGACATTTTAGAAGTTAATATCGTAAAGCATATATCAAATAAGAACAATTTGTTAAGTTATGTTAAAGTTATTTTTTATTGTATCCTGTGTTATTATTGATTTGATTTTATGCTAGCTTAGCATTTAGATAAAATACAATAATATAACTTAAAGTAATAGCATAAGAAGACCGGTCTCCTTAACTCCCACTTTTGAAAATTAAATAATTTTTTTAGTACTGTGAGTAAAGTTGTTTAATCTAAATTAAGATAACAATCTTACATGTATTTATTTAAATGTAATATTGATGTAAGCCTATTAGAAAATTATAAAAATATATGTTATTATATTGAATCGGGAGAAAAATATGCGAATGTAAAATTTACAATTAGGCTGAAACTCAAACTTAGATTAGCAGAAATTTTGCTACATATAATCATACATGTTTAAAACTATGCCAATTTAAAGTTTTTTTTAAAAATTCATTTTAAATAGCTGTTATTATAATTATCTTAGAAGCAGTAGTAGAGTTCTCTTAGTTAACATGCAGATAAAGAAATGATTAGAGATAATGTGTGTGTGTATGTGTATGATTATGGCAAAGCCTCGAGGGCTATCTGCCTAAGGGGAGGGATGCCTTCGTGGAGGACTTTCTAAGGGAAACTGGCTCGTATACACGTTACACATGGGGAAAACCACGAAAACGCCCATGCAGCCAGCCCATTCGCGGGATTCGAGATTAGAGATAAACAGGCATTTAAAGGAAAAAAAAAAAAAAAAAAAAAAATCCCTGCAAATTAAAAAAAAAAAAAGAACTTTATGCTAAGAGTAGCGCATTTTATCTGTTATTTTAAAATTGAGTAAGTACTATTAAATCTGTTAATGTTCAGTGTAAACTGCATACTGCAGTAGCATTGTCTCTTCCAAATTATAGCTATATTTTTACACATAGCTCATTTTAAACGCTGGATCTTCAAATTTGAAAGGCTAATTTCTATGTTGTCAATTGCATCTCCGTGCTCAGTGTCATCATGGCTACGTCATCACTCCCCACTGCCTGTTCCAGGAGGAGAAGCTCTATGAGCTAGCCCTTCTCTTTTAAGTCCTGCGTGCTGCAGCATATTTGATGATATGGCGATTGTTAGAATAAAGAACTTTTTCAGAAGATGTAGATAACCCTAATGTTTAACTAACAGAAAGACTGTGGAATGATCTTGCAGAATTGGAAACTCTTCTTTCAACACCGTATATAACCACAAAAAAGCTACAAGCTGAGGAATTAACAGGAGATGAGAATGTTAGAAGATGTAGATAACCCTAATGCTTCACTAACAGAAAGACTGTGGAATGATCTTTAGAAGAATTAACAGGAGACGAGAATGGAAGAATGTGATGTTTGTTCTGTCTGAATGGAGGGTTTATTGCAGAATGAATAATTTCTTAAATGAAGAAACAAGAAACAATTTGCTAGACAATAAGATCTTGCTGAGTTCAATATATGTAGATCCAAAATGCAGAATTTTGTTGGATGATGAACAAATTAAAAAAGGCAAAGAAAGCCATCTGTGAACTTTCATTAAGAATGAAATTATTCTCAGAACAACTGGAGTATTCAAATCGGGGCAGTCAAACTGTAGAAACTTTATCATCCTCTTCCACTGATGAATTAGATTTTGAGAAATATTTAGATAATATTGAAAAGGCTAAGGCAAAGCGAAAGGAAATAAAGAACCAAGAGCCTTTAGATATAAAAATGAAAATATACAAAAAGATACATGGTCTTTGAAGAAATAGAGAAGTATGATTGCTCTTGCAAGACACCTCTTTTAGAATTTATAAAAATATATCCTGAATTGTTAAAGGAAGTAGTCCTGACAGTAACAGCTCTTCCTCCTACTCTAGTCAGTGTGGAAAGACTCTTCTCGCTTCTAAAGTTTATCAAATTGGATATATGGTCCTCTAACAAAGATCTTGCCAAAGTTATGCTGTTTCTTAGAAATTACTAATGCCAGTTTTTCCATTTCGTAATAAATACTAATTAATATAAAAAATTTGCTATGCATCAATTTTTTCTGTAGCATCTATTACTTCTTTTATATTAAAAAAATATGCTGTAACCCATGTGTATATGTTTACATATATATGAGGGAGTCGAAGTCGGTCATTTTCCCTACCAACTCCACAGCCCTGCCTGAAGCTAAAGAGTAACTTTTTATTTTGTAATCTTTTGCAAACTGTTAACATATTTCTCCAACATCAATTAACTGATTTAATAGTTTTCTTTCTTCTCTTCATTTTTTATTATTGAGAGAAGAAAGAAAAAATGCTTTGATAAAAATGAAAATCTGTTTTGAATCATCAGTAGCCAAAGTTTCTCTGTTCCATCTGAGCTCTATCATTCTTTGATCATCATGATAAATTCATACTAGTTCTAACCAGATTGTGACAGTTTTGATTTTGTTTATATCAATTCTATGAGTGTCTGTTTAATATGTCACCTTTTTCATTTTCTGTATATGAATTCATTCTGTCTGCATGCAGAATCATCAAAAAACTATTTTCAAGCTTCAGTTGTAGTACAGTACAAAGTTCGTAATCCAGACATCCATTATCCTGAATGATCTATAATCCGGACCTCAAAGCCACAAACATGTGCGTTATGCATACGTGCGCGTAAAGAATGCGCATTTCTTTCAACGTGCATATGCTTCACGTATGCGCGCGTTGAAAGAAATGTTTAATAAAGTAAACAAATATTAAGCTTTTCTTTTTTGTAAAATTTGATACCTTTTAGAACATGATTGCTCTTTATTTCATAAATTACGGTTTCATATTTTTAATTCTATAATTTCTGCATGCCACCTTACCAGATTTAAATTGATGATCTATAATCTGTAAAAAACCCTAATCCGGAATCACCAAAGTCCCGACGAGTCCAGATTACGAACTTTGTACTGTATTAGCTCTTCTTGCTTCTCCATATACACCTCGCAAATAAAAATACATATTTTGTATAATTATTTTTTCCCTCTTTTTCAGTTCAATTATTTTATTATTTTTTACAAACTGTTTAGAGTAATTCTCTTGAAAATTAGCATTATCTTTTTCTGATGGAATGCAAGTCACCATTTATTTCTTTTGTTTTATCATTTTAATTACCTGAAACATTATTATGAGCTTTATCATCATCATCATTAAAAAATATTCAGTGCATTTCTCTTAATTCAGGAGGGTTATTTAAATCAAAGGTTAAAAGTTACTGAAATTCTATACTTTGATTTTGGAAATGTGACTAGATGTGGTATATTTGACAGTGGAATAAAAGCAGTGGAATAATGAAAAAAATTAATAGAAAGTCTCAAAATAAAAAAACCATCAAGTAGCAGTTAGATTTAAAAAAGTATAATTCATTTTAATTAAAATTGAAAAAATATATATGCGTGTGCATGAATTACAGATAAAAGAACAGATAAAAGAAAATATCCACCTTGGAATCAATTTTCGTATATGATATAAACCACTTAAGTATAGAAATATTTTTATAATGATCATACTTCATACTTAACTATCCTGTAGCAACTTCTGTCCATATTATTATTGCATTTATGCAAGTATAATAATAATAATATATTGTCTGGGAAACAATTTTGTTACTTTATTTTAGAAATCAAATATTTGAACCTATATATATTAGATAACAAAATAAAAATGGATTATATGTTTAGGCAAATATGTTTAAAGAAGAGAGTTTTCCCTTTCCTTTAAGCCAATATAAACCATTTTTTAATTAGTTATTACATATTAATTATTTATTAAAATTAAATATGATAAATCAAGAAATCAAATTCCATCCATAAACTCAAAGCAAATACATTTCAGAAAAAGAAAAAAAAAAAAAGTTATTTCAGACTTTTCTAGTGTCATTATAGGTTTTAATCACAGTTTTCCTGATTATGTGGAATTTGGTTGTAACAATTTATAATTGCTTTTTGCTTTATATAAGTCTGAAATCAATCATTATTCACTGTTCTTTTTGTAATTTTAATTGTAAATTTTATTTCAAATTCTCATAATTTCATTTCAAATTGTTTTCTGCATTTTATTATTGTATCATAAATTTTTTATTTACAGATTTTGGGACAGTGGATATTGAACTGTGTGATGCATTTTGTTCTGGCAATCCAGATGAAGTTTGTGGATCTAATAATACTGATCGGATGTATGTCATGGAAGCTACCTTAATCGGGAGTGTACATGGAATTTCTATCGTTATTGATGATGAAGTCCACTTTACAGGTGAAACATTCTCACTTTAGATTAAATAAGATAACTTTAGATAAAATATTCTTTTAAAATTACTTAATAATAACTATATCTGCACACTTAAACATTTATAAGTAGGTAAAAGGAATTTTTGTTCAACATAAAATTTTAATTTTTCTGTATGCAGTATTTCAAGAGATTTGTGTATGGCATATGAAGAGAAAGAAGAGAGATTTTGCTGTATTTCAACAGATTTGTGTATGGCATAAGGAGAAAAAAAAGAGAGATTTTTCTAGATATGTTTTATTTTATTATTTAATTCACGAATGTTTAATTCATTTAATTGATAATAATTAAATTTTAGAATTACATTAATGATGAAAGTGAATTGTAGAGTCATTAGGTTTATTAGAGAAGTCAAACAGCAAGAATCAGCATAATATTTTAAAATTTTGCGGGTCTAGTTTTTATGGTTTAACTACAGAACCACCTTCCTCAGCTGCTTAAGTGCAAATGAACGTGATAAGATATGGTGTTAAGATAAGAATGGCTAAACAGAAGTTAAGCTACTGGCCTTATCTATTAATGAAACAAGAAAACTAACACATAATTTCCTTAAAACCTGATGATAAAGATGGATACTTTGGAATTAGGATAGTTAGGCTGTCTTAGATAGGGTACTTTCGAATTAGGGTATTTAGGCTGTCTTAGTTTGACCAATTTAAATTAAACCACATTGGCAATTCATTAAGTTTGTTGGTGCAAGAGATGTAAAAAATATGCAAAACCCATGCCAGGACTCAAGCTCTGGATCTTTAGATTGCTAGCTAGATATGTTTTCCAGATACACCAGTTAGGCATGCAATAAGGAGGAAGAGAAATCCTAGACTGTTCCTCACTTAAAGGTTGACTGGGAGGACAAAACCCAGTTGCCAAATACTAGTAGTGACAAATTGTTCTCCAACACGTTTTAGTTTAGACACCTCTTGTAGAGTCATTAGGTTTATCAAAGCTTGGATATATGAAAAATATGCATTGCCCTGGCTGGAACTCAAACCCCAGACCTCCTGATTGCTTTCCAATTACAACAAAAATTACACCAGTCGAATGTGCTTTCCAATTACACCAAAAAGGCATGTGGTAAGGTGCATGAAAAACCCTGCAGAATTATTTCATGTCAAAAGGAAATCATAAGCAAGCATTAAATATTTATGAATGTGCATCTATAATTTTCATGTAGTAATATGAAGGCATGTAGTAAAATAAAATTTATATGAAACTGGCCAGTATAAAACATTATTAAGCACAAATATTTGTTAATTTACAAATGACATTTTTAGGTCATATATAGGTAATAAAGGATATCAAACCTGAAATATATAATTGCAAATATTTTTCAAGTAAGATTCTTTTAAACAGAGTACACATTGTTAATATAATGAAAGAAACTTCACTTTAAATTTGTGTAATATTTTTGTCTTAAATTTCTTAATAACTTATTTTTTTAATTTTTGTAATAAGGCTATGCAAATAGGGTATTTAGGATATTTGTACATAAGAAGTATTAAGAGTTTTTCTTTTACATATTGGAATGAGCATATATTAGCTTAGCCTTCTTATATAATGCCTGAAACAGTTTACAAATTATCGTCTATTATTCTGCTTTCAATTTTTATTTCATAATATTAAAATGAAACAATTATTTTCAACATTGTTTTGAGCCACAAAAATTATGGAATTAAATAAATTTTATAACATGCTTGCTAATCAATTACTTCAAAGAAAATTCTTTTGTTAGACTATCATAAATATATTTCTTTATAACTAATGTTTTAATTGCAAAAGTATTTTAATTTTGATAAACATGTTTTGATTTTTCTAATATTTTCTTTATTTTGTATTATATATTATTATCTTATATTTTCTTTATTTTTTATTCTTCAGAAAAGAAAAAAAAAAGTGTTTATGAAATAATTTTTTATTCATTTATTTATCTGTTATTATTTTTTTATTTTGAAAATTAGTACTTGTATGTTAACTGGTACCACTAAGACACCATCAACAATGTAATGCTGCCTTTTGGCAATGAAATATGATGTCAAGAGAACAATAAAACAAGTTTTTTTTTTTAATTACTGGCAGATATCTTACAATCTTACTAAAAATTACAACATATTATTATTATTAATATTATGAGTTTATCTCTGTCTCTACTGATTAAGAAGACAAAAGGCTTCTCAATTTTTGTCCTAATACTGATAGGGCTGAGAGAAAAAAGAAAAACATTATTTCTATAAGAATCCAGACTAGCTTCTAAGAATTGTTGTGTGCCTGCAATCAGAGGGGATAGACAACGTATCAGAGGATGCTGGCTAATACTACATGAGTATCAAAATTTTATTAAATTGTATCACATATTTTCAGCAGTTTTCATTTTTTTTTTTTTTTTTTTTTTTTTTTTTTTTTTCCTTTTTACTTTAGATGAAATGGTGAAAATTTCTATTGAAGTAAATGCAGATACTCAGTTTCAAGTTAACTTAAAGTTTGGAGATGAGACATCATATGCCTTCCATGATGAAAGCTCTTTTGTTATTGAGAAGTATTATAGAGTTCCTGGAGACTATGTAGTTTATGCAACAGCTATTTCCAAAGTGCAGCCAGATGTCGTAAGTTTTTATGAATGTTTTATTAGGAAGATGTGATAAGCATTACATATTATCATCCAAATTAACATTATCACAGAATTTTGTAGTTTTCTTTGTGTCAGAACTGTAATTTATATTTGACTGGAGTGTAAATAAAGTACATTCTGTTACATATGAAATGCAGTGCTACATTCTCTTATATTGCAACCTGTCATGGTGACCATCTTTGAAAATACATCATAGATAGATACAGATTGAAGCAAAGCCAGCACCTGTACTTTCCTGAAGGTATGTTAAATATCGCTGGGCTTTGCTAACTGTTAAGCTCCAACCCAATTTTGATGGAGAAGATCCTGAGGGCAGTTTGAGGGCCTTCCACCCTTCTTTCACTATCACCAAACCACTTAAAAAAACTTTTGCACATTTTGAGTGCTCACTTGCCACACTGATATTATACATATGTGAATGATGCTTTCTCTAGACCCGTCAGTACGGCAGTCAGATATTCTCAAAAATGCTATCTAAGATTAAGATGCACTGCTACCCAGACAGTATAGTACTAACCATTATACTGTCTGGGCAGCAGTGTATTTTAGATAGCATTTTTTGAGAATTTCATTGTTTTTGTTTATCTTCTTGATCTTGAGATATAATCTACTCATATCAGGTCCACAAATTAATCATGGCTGAGAGGAGAGATCGCTTGTTATTGGCTAAGGCTTTGAGAATTTTATAGGTTTAATGCTTTTCTCAGTTCCATTGCAATTTTGGTTGATGACACCTTGAAGAACGCAATCTAAGAGTTTGGGACCTCTCTTTCCCTACCACTGGAAACTATGGGCTTAATGAATTTTAAATGAACCCTTGCCACAAAGACATTATATAATTACACACATGCCTTCTTCAATATTTGATTTTGGGCCCATTAATATGGAGTTGGCTTCACTAATCAAAATATCAGCTAGGTCGGCAAGAATATAACTCTGGTGTAGAACTTCACCTTTTTAAGGTGACTGCCTCCAGTGTTGTCAACTTTACAGTGTAAGGAAAATAATATTGAAATGCATCGTCACTTTACATCTGATTCTATGGTTTATCAAGCTACACTATATTTAGTTTATAACAAAGTCTTGATTAGAAAGTAAAATAATAGAATATGATCTGTTGCACAAATCCATCTTTAATATAAAATCTCTTTGTGATCATGCATGAAAAAATAATTTCTTTATAGGTAGTTTTTGATGAAATTGCCATCACCATCGAAGATAGGAACATTTATTTTGAGGTCATATGTCCAACAGTTGTAAAACCAGAAACCACAGCACAGAGTTCAGTGATATTTCATTGGGGTACTCTTCTGTCTGTAACTTTTCAGATGTCTCAAGATGAAGAGGAATCTGTTGGTTACGAGGTCATGGGTAAAGTACTTTTTATCTTAATTAAATGATGGATCTTAAATTATCTGCATATCTTTTTTCTTTCTATAACTGAATTTTTCTTTGGTATATTTGCATAGATAATTGTTAATGATCACTTTTTTAATATGTATATCTACACAGATAAATGTTGTGAAGTTGCATAATTTTTTCTTTGGTTCTTTGATGAATCTGCAGATTTTAGGTACTCTGTGGGACAAGATGCGAGACCTAATGTTACCCACACTCCCCTATGTTGTCTCATTCTCCATATCTTTCCCAACTGAAAATCTGTGGTTAATGTTTATAGAGAGACTAGCATTATTATAATAACCAGTCAGTATGGCAGATGAACTTTGGCAGAGAACTGAAATGCATGGGCTGGAATATCCGAAAGTGCAATCCAAAATCTGTTCAACTCAGTGTTCCCAAAGAAGACATGAAAGATTATAAGAGTAGTGTCAGCATGGCAAGGGAATACTAAAAAGGCATGACGATCTGAAAGTCATCTCTAGAGGCTTGTGACAGAGGAAAAGGTGTGGGAGGCCCTTCGTCTTCCCTATCCCTGAAGTGTTCTTCCTCAAAATTGTGTTGTAACTGCAGGGTAACTAATTGCAATAAAAGGTTACAGTAAACCTAAAACTAAAATTTTAGGTTTACTGTAGGTCCTTAAAAGTTCTTAGGTTTTTTTGGAATCGATTTTTTGGTCCTTAAACGTCCTTAATTTAGTCCAAAATCGTCAGAGGGAAATTTCTGTCTGTTTTTATGACTGCCATATTGAGTGGGAATTAGCAGTTTGGAGGAAGATTTTTGGCAATTTGCTCTTTTAAATGGGTGAATGTTGTTTCTGAGCAAGAAGTGAAACATACACTTTTAAAAATTATTTCATTTTTTTTTTTCTAATGAAGAGCTCTTAAACAACTTTTCGCTTTTGGCGATGTGAATTCTTCTGTTAAACTGGTCTAAATTTGGCAACTTAACAACATTTTGGCGATTTTAAGATAAATTTCTATTGACAATTTTTAATTCAGAGATCTGGGAATTTTTCGATGAATTCTTTTTAAAGCATTATAACATTGATAAATTTCATTAAAGTAGTGGTAATATATTGAAATTATATTTAAGAAATAACGTTAAAATAAAGCATTTTTATTTTACCTGTTATATTATAAAGTGAAATTATTTTCCATTTTGTCAGCTTATTATGCAATATTTTGAATCTGAAAGATAAACAAAGTAATAAATGCTATAAATCACAATTTATGAAACAATTGTTAGCAAAAGCAAAATAGCTATGTAATTGAAAATGTCTTCTTATGGTAAGAGTTTTTCCCATGTAATTGTCTCAGAATATTCAGAGTTCTCAGAATATGTATCAGTTTTTTCTATAAAATTAATTTTACATTTTTTCCTTCGATTTTTTTTTTTCAAAATATTTCTGCCATTTTGCTGTTGCAGAATTGGTAGGGGTAATTTTTCTTTTGGATATTAGACATTGCAACTTGGAAAGTTTAGAAGGATTTGAAAGCAAGATTTATTGACCCATGATTCTAAAAAGTTCCAGAAAAATGTGACAAAGTAAAAAATGTCTTCCTGATATGAACATGTAATGGATGTATTTTGTGGAAAGTTTGTCATGAATTTCTTACTTTTTGGAAGAACAATGAAAACATAATATTTGAATGTTTTATTTCTGATACTAGAAGTCTTAACATGTTTATTTTCCCTTTATTTTCTCTTCTTTTCGCTAGACATAAGCATGGAAATATCAAAATTGCTTCTAATCTTATCACATGGACAAGCATTTCTAGAATGGAATTTTTCTATTAATAAAGAAATTGAAAACTGATAATTTGAAATATTCATCTTATATGTGTCAATGCATCATACACAGGGATGACACTAGGCATTTTCCCACTTGATGCAATCTCTGTGCACTCTAAATTCTGCTACCTAGTGCTTTCGCATTTCTGCACCCAGTGCCTGTCCTAAATTCTAAAACTTTTAACATTGCTAGATTTTTTTTACTCGGAGCATCACTAAATTCTAAAAATTCTGCCACACTGGTTCTATAACTAGTTCTGATCATATATCATTTCATATTTGTTCTGAATATTAAATAAAATTTTCTTCTGTACATTTTAAATACATTTTTTAGAATAGCACTAATTTTTAATTAAATTCAAAAATTCTAAAATGGAGAGGAAGCTTGTTGAAGAAAGATACTGAATACATGAAGAGAAAGAAAATTATTTTTCAAAGATATGTACAGTTATTGTTATGTAAATTAACCAATTGTTTATAATTTCAGCCTTTACTATAATTTCTTCTTTCCATTTCATCACCAGAATGCAAATCAGTTAGACAGTATTTAAATTGAGATTTTTGGATTGTAAGATGGAGTGTGTTTCTGGCCTCTGCTTGCAGGCTGCATTGTTCATACCAGCTCTTATAATTTGTAATTATTCATCTTTGCATTATCATTGCCAACGTTTGAATTCGTTATGACAATAGAGCTACTGAGCCAGCTGAAATTAAAATTAAATTGTATAGTCTTTGACTACTAGTCCACATTTTTAGTTTGAATTTGACTGTTCTTGTTTAGTTACATCTCCATGAGCTGTAGTTGATTTTATTAGCATAAGAATGTGCCTTTATATTTTAAGTTCTGTTTAAATAAAAGAGCTGTATTTAAACCTTTATCTGACTTTGTAGTTACTTTCAGACATAATGATAACTTGTTTCACATTTGTGTCAAGGGTTTTGGACTATTTAACTTTTACCAGATCGATCTTATCAAGTTCGGAAATAAAGCAAGTGGGAACTAGTAGGAACACTGGTTTGTGTATTGAAACAAATTCTTAATTGTTAGAAAAGATGCTTAAAGAGAATGAAATTGATATAAATTAGCCAAAATGTCTGGGAAGGCTTCAAATTAAAAAGACGCATAAATATTTTGTTGTGTGTTGTTGCTACAAAACATAAATGTTTTGTAGCAGAATTTATGATATTTTGTAGCTTTTAATGTGTAATTATCCTAATATCATTTAAAAATCAATGTCATATATTACATGTGTTTTAAACTGTGAAGTGTTATTCGATTGTGATTTCAATAGTACATTTTTAACAAATATTAAAAAAAAAAAAAAAATTTAATAGTGGCAATGTAAATGTATAAAACTAAAGGTATCTAATTACCTGATTTAATTATTTGTAATTAAATGCTCAAGCTTAAACGTTATCTCTTTTTGTTGAAGCAAATTATTGCCTTTCATTAATCCTTACTGTGGTCACAAAGTAAATTAGAAAAAATGTAAAAAATAATGTAAAACCTATTCTTTGCAGTTAGTGAGACTTAAAATGATATAAAAAAAAACTTGCCACTTCTAGTGCTTTAGTGGCTAATTGGAACCTTAAAGTATATTAATTGGGTTACAACCTCAGGAAGTCTATGCGAAACTACGACATTAACTGTGTCAGACAGACAGAGCATAACTAACTTTCAAAACTTGTCAATCATGTCTATGTCAGGCTTTCAGATTTGTTCTGATCAGCAGGTCTCTCTAGGCAAACAGCAGTGATGGCAACAGCCAGTCTTCTGTTATGAATCATGCTGATTATGATTTTACTTTTCATTTCAACCTATGCCATTTGACATAAAATCTGCCTGCTATTTACTAAACCTCTTGACTGAGCAAGTATGTGACAAAATGAGACATAAAAGAAGAAAATCAACATAAAGCTGTTAATAAAACGTAAATAAAATATCACTAATCGCCTTCCAAATATGTTCAACTATTATAAGTGTAAAATATTTAATGCTACTTGATATTTTTGCAAGGTTTATTCTCAAATTTATTTTATAATTTTGTTTATGAAGTTATATTTAATAATGCATTCTACTCATCAATTTTATTCTTAGGCTAGTATTACAAAAGTGAAGTTTAGTCATAGATAATATCTTTAACTGATTTTATTTGACCATTTGCTGATAGGTCCTTAATTTTTTTTTTTCATTAAAGGTCCTTGAATGTCTTTAAAAATACTTAATTTCCATGTGCAGAAATGTATATGAACCCAAGTGCTTTTATTCATCTTCAGATGTCTCTCTCTCTCTCTTTTAAAGCATTAAGACATTTGTTAAATATTTATTTAAGAATAATGCTTGCTTTATCTCATTCCTGATTTTGAAATAAACATTTTTGTACATATGAATGCTATAGCCAGATTATTTAACATGAATTCATTTTGGCGCACAAATTTGTCTGTTGGTAAGATTAGTTCTGTATATTATTATGCAATATTGCAGATCCTTTTTATGTGACTTTTGGACAACCTGTTCCACCACTGTTGGATGAAACAGAAAGTTGTGAGATGTCTTTGGAAGAAGCTCATTTACCGTACACTAGAGTAAAAACTAAGGCATTACTCTTGGGTTTTGAGTATTTTGTGAAGCAAAGTGGAAGCTTTGAATTTTTGGTATGTGATAGTGTTTCAATATCCATTATCTGTCATATACTTATAATCAAGATCATAGTTAAAATATTGTTATATGTTCCTGTTTTAAAATATTGTAACTTAATGTGAAATTAAAGGATATCACTAATTAATATCATTAATTTTTTATTAATTTATCTCTCTTTGTAAACGAGTGGTTAAACACTAATAGAAACATATTAAGAACTTGTTCTGAGAAATCTACAAATATATTTAAAAACAATATTGTAGCTTGATATATAATTAAAGATTATTACTAATAGATTGTAATTGAACTATTACTATAGTGGTCTGCTTTATAGCTAAAAAAATTGTTATGATTACTGAATTACTTTTGTTTAACATATCATATTTTAATAGCATTAATCATTTTATTTTTAATGTATTTCCAGAGGGAAAAATAATTACTTCATCCTTTTTTAAAAGTGGGGGTGATAAGAATTTGTTTCTTGTGTAATCTCTAAAATAATGAATTTTTATCCTTTGGGTGAAAAACTATTTTTTGCATTCAGATTAATAACATAATAAATATGGTTTTCAAAACTCTTTCATTGGGAAATTTACAATCAATAAATCAGTAAATTTTTTTTGAATAATAATCCTCAATGACTGGTATCTAACTGATAGCTTAATATCTGAAATGCTAACTTGGATCTCAATATTACTGGCAGAATTCTCCTAATACTATTGGTTAACATAATTTCTTTATGGTATATATGTATTAAAAAAAAAAAAAAAAAAAAAAAAAAAAAAAAAAAGAAAGGTTTCACTTTTAAAAATTAATCACCTGAGTTGTATAACCAGTTTTTCTTATCATGAGACTTTTTAACACTTGGTATATATTAACTTATAATTTAAAATATTTTGTTTTCTTAATTTTTTTAATGATGTAAATATCCTCTTAAGGGAAATTCACTAAAACAGGGACTAAAATAAATAACGATACAAATTTAGCTAATAAATTCTGTTTAAATAAAGGTCTTCATGAACAAATCTAAAAGCTGTGCCACACAGAAGTTTAATATAATTATTGTATACTATGTAGTGTGTTGTATTACTGCCATATGAATTTCAAATTTAAGCCACACTTTTTATTCAAATTCTTAAATTTCAACACTTTTTATTCATGTGACATAAAATTCGGATGTAGCTTAAAATTCTAGGTTATTTTTTCATGATTTTATGCAATTTGCAGTTTGAAAATCTTATTTGTGGCTTAAATTTAAAGTTATGTGGCATTTAGAATTTATACATATCTGCAATATATTTTTATCATAAAAATTTGCATGTGGGTGATTTTCACTTTATGAAAGTTTGGTTTACATTACTTCACTTTTATGAAAGACCTACATCAGTACTTTTTACCTTCGGGTAGAGGGGGGTTCTGAAAAGACTTTTATTCAAAGCTAAAAAAGTAAAAATATTGTTCAGCCTACTTTTTTAATGCAATTATTGAAGAAGTATTTCTTTAAGTATGTTAAGAGCATAATGCTTAGAGCTATTCTGAAGGCTTTTAAAGTGCCAATGGAGAACTCTGGACAGAGAAAAGATTTGGTTTTAACTTTTTAGTTGATGGCAATAACTCTCTTCTGTTGATTTAAATGTGGAAAGTACCTTTTAGTTCCATTCCACGAGGTTAAGCAGCCAACCACACTGACATAACGAACCGAATTTTACTCACCTCTCCTGCGACTTGGCACAAATATGGGAAACCTGTTTGCTCTCCCCCTTTATTTTGGGAAGTCTATCCTCCGTATGTGGTGGGAGAAATAGGTCTGAGTGGACTGGTTGCATTTGGCTCGTAAGTGGTTTTGCATCCACTTGAGCACTTGGTCTGACCCCTCCGTATTAGGTGCAAGGGTAACTGCAACTTTTGTTTTGTGCTTAATTTGAATTGGTCTTAATTGGTACTGATCTTTGGGTACCGCGTAATTATAGTAATATGCCCTGAGGCTGAACATTTGGAGGGCCTTTTCGACGAAATCTCCAATGCTCACACACCATAGTATGATCCGGTGACTGGAAGATTTGCCAGGTGTATTGTTCTCGCCAACAAATAGTTTTATTTGAGGATTGCAATCAAGATCCTCTTAATTTTAATTTTATTTTAATCTTTATTAAAGTATGAAAATACACAGAAAAGAATTTGAACGAATATATACAGTATATACAAAGTGAGATATGTCAGATACTGACATTTACATGAGTCGAAAACTTTAAGAACTACTTTTTACAATTAATTGTTTGACCTCGTCATTTCTTTCACAAAATTAGCATTATTGTCTACAATATGTTTGATTATCAAGTGGATGCCTTTGAGGCCAACTGGAAATTTGACCAAATGCTCTAGCTCCAATGAGGAGAGGAAGTTTGGGAACACCTCTTTCCTTAGTGATACCAGTAGAGGGCATCTCGAAATAAAGTGAGACGCATTTGCTAGTAGGGCACTTGCGCCACAGGCGCATTTTACTTGTTTCTTGAAGAATCTGTGGATGTAGCTGGAGAACTTCCCATGATTCATAAGGGCTTGTACCTCATAAAAGTCCGTTCTAATTCTTTTGGGGGAGACTGCCAGGAATAACCCAAATGTCCATCTCGTCCCATCTGTCCTGCCGTTGTTTCAGGAGTTCTTGTTTTAGTTTGTGTTTGGCTGCCATCTCTGAGAAGGGAACCTCAACATCTATCTCTGTCTTGTCTGTGGCTCTTTTAGCTTCCTCGTCCGCTCACTCATTTCCTGAGGTGTCCTCTTGTGGGCTTTAACCCAATCGAGAGTGACTGTGTGGGTCTCCTGAAGGGTGCAGAAGAGTTCCTTAAGCGCCTTTACACTTCTGTTCGAAATCTTTGTTTTATTGACACATTGAAGGGAGCTTTGACTATCCGTGAAGATCTTAATTGGGTCATAAGGGCCGATATTATGACTTGGTCATTTACAAATTTCTTTGAGGGCGAGGACTTCTGCTTGGAATACCATGGCATTGTTATTTAATCTAATTTGGCTATTGTGGATTTCCTGAGTGCTGTCAAAGATGACAAATGCCGCTTCTACTCTAATGTCCTTTTTAGAGCCATCCGTGAAGGCTTCTATTCCCTTCCCCTTCAGGGAGTCTTTGTTTCATTTAACTCTGTATCTTGTCACGGGATGTTCTGCTATTGCCGGTAATCTATTTTCCACCTCATGTTTTCATATTGTTAGGTCTCCTATTTGAATACTTTTTTCATAATGCTTCAATTCGTAAATGCTTGCCTCCATTTTCGCCTTAAGATCCAAAGGCAGTAGACCTGCCAGGACTTGAAATGCTAATGTGGGGGCCATTGAGAAAGCCTTAGTGATGCACAAAAGTGCTATTCTTTGAATCTGGTTAAGCTTTATCTTTTGCCTCTCTGTACCTGTGTACGATATTGGACATCAATAGAGAATCATCCTTTCTATTGCCTGAAGGTAGAACGTCTTTAAAAGTTTCCCTTTTAGGTTCCACCTGTGTGTTATCATCTTGTTTAGATTGTTAATTAATCCTAGTGTCTTTCTTCTCTTTAATTTCTCCCAGATGCAGTATCCATGTAAGCTTTTGATCTAATGTGAACCCCAGATATTTTAGAGTATCACATCTTGGAATTGTCGTATCATTCCATTTAATTCTTGGGGGTGATCGGTGAAGCTTATTTCCTTTTGGAAATAGCATTAACTTAGTCTTCTCTATACTAAATTTTAATTTGTAATTTTCACTCCATTTTTGAATCTGGGACAGGACTTTGTGTGCTTTGCCCTATAGTCTAATCCTGTTGCCTCCTGCTATAATTAGTATAAAGTGATCTGAATATGCTTGCAGTGTGACGTCCTTCTCAAAATTTAACTTTAGGGCAGAGTCCGCAACTATGTTCCATAGTATTGGGCCAAGGTTCGACCCTTTGGGGGCGTCTTTCTCGTAAGTGTGAGTAATGTTTACTCCATCCCTTTTATATGCAATTGTTCTATGATTAAGATAACTTTTAATGATGTTAAACAAATTCTTTGGGCAGTTTAAATCCATGAGCCTTTCCAGGACACCTGGCCACCAAAGGTTATTAAAAGCCGAGACCACATCAAGGGAGATGACGCACATGTGCATGTTCCTTCTTTTACATATTTTCGTAAATTTATTTTACTAATTTCTCTAGGGCATCTATTGTGCTCTTGTCTAGGAGGAAGCCGAATTGCTTCTTATTAAGCTTCTTGTTTGAAACTAGATGGTGGGTTAGTCTCTTTGCTAAAAGCAGGGTTGCCACGCTACCTGGAAAACCGGAAAAAGTCAGGGAATTCGAAAATTGACCAAAAAAGTCAGGGAATTTAAATATTTTAGTCAAAATCTGGAAAAGTCAGGAGTGTCATACAGCGATCCCCCAAAAAAGGAGTTTTGCACCAATGTTGGAAGCGATTGCTTTGTTGCCGAATTATGTATCAGATGAGCGTCATTCGGGCAGCTGGCATAGAGCCAATGTTCGCAGCTCCAATCAGATTGTCTTTTAGAAAGGCAAAGCAAGTTTCTGACAAGTTTGGTTTCCAGTAACCTCGAGAATCCTAAGATTCGCATGTGCAGGTTATGTTGAACTAAAGAAAACACCCCCCCATTCTCGTATACAACAAAATCTGTTTAATTCTAATATACGGTACCATGGAGGCTAGAAGAGCCCCCCCTCCATGTACTCTGTTCTAATGTAAGAATGTCTATGTAAAGAAAGAAAGGTTTCATAGACGTAATGTAAATCAGTTTGCTAGAGTGCCGCTAGAAAGCGGAGGGAAAAACTTGCCAAGGGATTTGGCAATGGAACCTGATGGCGAGAATTTCCTCCCCCGCGATGCGTACAGGAAATTGTCGAGCATGTGTTAAGAAGAAACGTTCTTTGACTTTCGCGATAATTTATACTCGGATTTTCATACTTTTTTTGCTCAAAATAGCTAATCTATTAATTAATTTACTTTCGCAAAAAATATTTTCTTATCCTTTAAAGTTTAATGAAATTTAAAACAATATTCGTTTTATGTACTCTTGATAAATTTGATCTTCGAACTTTACGGGCTTCGGTGACAGATATTTTGCGCATACCCAGCTGTTTCCCTCTACGTTGGGACGGAGCCATTCTGTTTCATTTTTATCTTAACAATACATATTTTTTTATTCTAACCTCCGTGTACGGTACACATGGGATTTGGCGACATTATGATGAGCAGTAACAACAGTTACCTCTTTCTGTCTCTTAGTCTCTGTTTAAGGTGTTGGGTAGTAAACCGGTCATTTTCGTGTTGGCGGCAGCTTTCAAATTTTTACAAATGCTGTAGCGAAGACTAAAATTTTATCGCAAAATCTTTTAAACTTTTTTTTTTTCATTTTAATAAATGCCTTATTTTTCATTTTGCAGTAAAATAAAAAAATAGTAATCAGTCATCTAAGCTAACATTTAATATTCGCCAAAATAGCATTGATTGTTGTAATTCAATTTTTAAGTAATTAACTTCATTTTAATGTTATTTATTATTTAATGTTTTTTTTTTCTCTAAATTTATTTATTATTAATTAATAATACTTTCAAATTTCAGGCAAATTTCTCTGGCATAATTCTGAAACAAATCTAGCAATCTAGCAGTATGATGACATACTATCACAAAATTTTAATGCACATATTTTTGTTTATGTATGCTGCTAAATAAATATAAAATACCTGAATTTATTTTAAATTATCTTTAAATAGATTTCTTTCTTTCATTTAGCTGCAAAATGTCTGTAAAAAAACTCATTTTGTAATCTAGATTGGGCAGATTCTAATCTCAATCTTCAGTAGAGAAAACAACTCCTATTATAGCTATAATAGTAATGCTTTCATGATTATATATATAATAAGTCATATGCAATTGGCAAATTTTTGTGTTTTCAAGTGGTACCATAATTAATTTACCTCTCAGCGTGGCCAACGCGCATGCGGATAGACTGGAATTTTCTCAAAACACACCTGGAAAACCTGGAAAAGTCAGGGAATTTCATTCTCCTCTTTTAAGTGGGAACCCTGTAAAAGTTTATCTAACACCTTACCCCATGCCGACAACAGGCAAATTGGGGGGTTAGATGTTTGGATTTGTGGGATTCTTCACTTCTTTACTGAACAGAACTAAGTCTCCTGATTTCCACATGTCTTGAAAGTTTCCAGACAGTCATTAAGTATTTTGACAAATTTTATTTTGTCTGCTATGAAGAGCTCCACCACTATCTCTACTGACAGTCTGTCTTCCCCTGGAGCTTTCCCTTTTTTAGTAGACTTTATGATACTATTTATTTCTTCTTCTGTAAACAGAAGATCGTCCTCTATGATCCTGCGCTTTTTGTCTCACTCGCTCGTGAAACTCATCATCATCGTTTTTACTGTCTTGGGGAAAATGGAAGTTAACTGTTACTTTAATTGTTTCCTCTGTGTTTGTAGTCCACCACCCATTAGAATCTTTGATTTTGCTTAATTTCAATGGATTGTAGGCAGTACCCTTGGCTAGATTAAAGTGTGTGCCGAAGGGGGATGAAATTTTGAGAATTTCCCAGTATTATCCCATAATTTTAATTTCTCCAAAAAGATATGTTTCTTATATTGGGCCGCAACCTTTTTATAATCCCGCCTCTTTGTTCTCCTTTTGGGACCTCTTGGTATTTAGTAAATTACCCTGAAGCATCTTACTTTCTGAGTTCTGTGAGTTGGGGCGACCACCAGGGACATACTGACATATGTCAAACCTTTCACCTCGCCTTTAGTTTTTATATACAGTCAAAAGTCGTTAATCTGGACTCGTCGGGAGATTCCGGATTATAGATCATCAGTTTAAATATGTTAAGATGGCATGCAGAAATTATAAAATTAAAAATATGAAACCGTAATTTATGAAATAAAGAACAATTATGATCTAAAGGGTATCAAAATTTACAACAAAAAAAAGCTCAATATTTATTTGTTTACTTTATTAAACATTTCTAAGTTAAGTTGCTTCGCTTTTTATGTGATAATACATTCTCTTTAATTATATAAACAGACATAATTTCATGTTCAGTTACAAAGTTCCGCTGTTCAAGTCCTATAATTGCTGTGTCAAGAATACCGACTAATTTGTCAATCGAAATTTTTTCGTTTTCAATAACCTCTGTCACTTTCTTTGCTATTGGAAGCGAATTATAATGATGAGGAATTTGATTTAAATCATATCAAAGACGGAGTACATCAAGATGAAATACTACATTTAGTAAGGAATTATAAGCCAAATAAAATAAAAACATCTGCCCTGAAGATAAGCATACTGCTGACAGATCAACTTCCAATTCATTGTGCGCCGCGGCGTTAAAGATAAACAAAGGATATGCCTTTATCCATTTTTTGCAGCAATTCCACTTTTTGTTTAATAGACTTCGAAACATACTTTTGCTTTGTAGATCCTTTACATATTAGTAAATATATATCAGAAATTCTATTTGACATAATCGAATGTTCAAGCTTACTTTTATAAAATTGCTCTAACAGTCTGCAAAAAATAATAAGCCGAATCCAATTCGAAGATTGAGGAACAACGCAATCTGCAACATTAACTGAATTAGATCATTTCATCTTAGCTTATACCGTCTGTTATACATTAAACGCGCATTCGTAAACGTATTTTGCGCACACATATTCGCAGCCGTAAAGGTCTTACGTGCATGCATCAATGCGACGCATGCGTAGAAAGTTTGTAGCTTTGAGGTCCGGATTATGGGTGTCCGAATTAACGACTTTTGACTGTAATAAGTTTCCATTTGATTGTCTATTGATCAAGAAACAATAAAATTGTTGCACCTATTATATTAATTGCTTTGCTTTGTGCTCTTTTCACATAGGGAAGTTTCACAGAAATGCCCTACTTTGATAAAGAGGGCAAAATTTGTAATATATTTAAGTTGCTTTTCTACAAAGTTCATCGTATCAATATTCTATAAAGGAATTTCTACAGCTTGCAGTGCATTAGTTTAACTTTAGAAATTCATTTGTTAAAGAATTTCAGATTTAATTTCTTCGCTGTATATTCTTGACAATTTATATAAATTTTTTATAGTGTGCTCAATATGTTAAAAATTGTATTTTATTTTTGTAACTTTGGAACTATTTACCTTATTTTTCAGATTTTGAGTCCTGTATGTGATTCTGAAGAATACTGTGATGCAACTTTAGACTGCAGATCATCATGCTCTCCTTCGGATGTAATAGCTTGTGAAGACAACATGTCTCTATGTTCTTATATAAGTCTATGTGTAGATTCTGATTCACCCCCACAATGTGATATCAAATCAAATCCTAATTTAAATTATGATAAAAAGCATTCGTTTTCCATAGAAGAAGATACTGTAGGTTATAAATATTTGAATCTTAGTTCTGAAGCTTATGAGATTATGCCAGGTGATATATTTGGTTTTAAGACAGATGGAGATGCTGCTTTGTGGTGCAGAAATTCGACTAGTTATGAAATTGATAATAATATTGAAGATTTTACAACTGATGGAGGCCTAGGTGTCCTACATTATCTAAGAGCTATTCTTGTAGAATCAAGTAATATATCTCTCAGATATATGTATAATTTAGTAAGTAAATATTACCATCTTGTATGATATGAAATATTTGATATTGAATTATATTGTATAATGATTACAAATTACCTGTTTTTAGTAAGGATGAACTCTTGAGATGTAGATGAATTACATTTGGAATTTTGCTTTAAATTATAAAAGTAGTCTGAAAGAAAAAAGAGAAAAATATAGCTGCTTTGATGATTCATAACTTTTGATTCAAATTATTATTACCTTTATGTTTTTCCCCAGTCCTAAACAGAAATGGGCAGCACCACTGTTTTGTTTGCTTACTGAAAAGTATTGCTTTTTTTATGACTCGCCATTCATTAATAATAACTTTGGTGAAAAAGATCAGAGATAATGTGTGAATCAGGAGTGGTTAGTAAGGAGGGAGCAAAGCAAGGAAAGAATCGAATGAGCAGTGGAATGGGACTGGTTAGTGAGGTGAGAGCAAAGAGTGAAAAGAATTGACCGAGGAGTGGGGTTGGAAAAGCAGATTGAATCAAACACTGACTCTCTGAACTGATTTCCTTCGGCCATAGTTTTGAGGTTTTCTAAAACCTCCTCTCTACTCTAAAATTCTAGAATAAACATTTTTCAAAAAGTTGAGAGATGATAAGAATTAAACTCACTTTTAACATGAGAGGATAAGTATTCTTTTCTGTCCTAAAATGGAAATCAAACTTTCCCGGCATGCTTTCAACAAAAGCTGCTTTTTTTTTTTTTTTTTTTTTTTCTAATCAGGCATAAGCTTGCTTACTAAAGTGAATCAGTTCATGAATGAAGAGTGGATCTATATTTATGGCACACTTACAATAAGAGCTCTTTGTGAGCTATAAAAGAGCAACAACCCTGCTTTCTAAATCAGATTAAATTCACTCAGTAAAGTGTCTCATTTCTTTGAATCAGTTTCAGAGTGGATCGTCCAGCTATAATTCCAAGAAATACCTCTAAATTCATAAAGAGACTTCTTGTAGCATATAGTATAGTGTAACGTTTTTATAGTAGTATGATTTGGAATGCAGGCATTTGTCTAATGTAACTAACTGTAAGTTTTGTTACACTGAGATTGCTAAAGAATATTTGCACTACTGCTCTTGCAGATGTTACAGATATAAACAAAGAACATTACAGTGGCAGCTTGTAAAATTAACATTTGATATTCAAGAGCAAATAGGTTTGGAACTTGATTATTGATTAGATATCATTCAGGTGATAAATGCTGCCCATGTTGAAAAAAGGTAAAAAATCGAGTTTAAAGTGAAACATAAGTTATATATCCCTATCACTGGTATTAAAGCTTCTGTGGTAATTTAAAATGAGTTTAATGTTCTATGTGTAACTAATATGTGAAGAGCATATTCACATATAAATGTATTTTATATAAAGGAACTAGCTTTGTTTAAAGCAAATTACAAACTGTAAAATAACTCATGTAAAACTCAAAGAAAAGTTTGTTCTTGTAATAACACATCAGATTATCAAAAACATATTTAGGCAGTATGCGGGTAATAGTTCTATAACACTTTCTAATTACACTAATGGGCAAATTTATGTAAAAATTATCAGTTAGTATGTTATAAATTATATCGATTAATGAAAAATTCTTAAAATGTATACATAAATTATTAATCCCCTATGTAGCAAAGCCGCGTTTATCTGATCATGAGATTTTTTACCTCTTGGCATATGTTATTTTATAATATTTTGCTTTCTTATGTTCTTTAATGATATAAATATCCGCTTAATTAATATAAGTTTATGAAAACAGGGAGACTAAAATAAGTAATTATACAAATTTAGCTATTAAATGTGGTTTCAATACAGATCTTTATGAGTAGGTTCAAAAATCCTTGCTGCTCAGAGGGTTAAGAAGTATGTTGCTTACTTTTGAAATCAGTCAGTTAACTGAGAAAATTATAGTTCTAATTTGAAATTTGAATTAAAGATCTTATGCCACATTGAATGGCAGGAATTGTTAAAATTGGCAGTTTGCTAAGAGTGTGGATTCCAAATTAAAGTTTTTTCATCCCATAGAATGGCATGGTTTAGAACTGGTAGTCTACTAGGATGCACTGAGCTAAGAGATTTCTAACTTTAAAATATATATAAATTTCTTTTACAAACACTGATTAAAGAAGATCCAGTTTCTTTACATTTAGAATACCCCACTTGCACATATGTAAACAGAGTTCTTGAGTTTTGATCATTGAAACTAAAGGAAGCAGAATGAAAAAAAAAAAAATGAAAAATTCGCTTTATTAATAAAAGTTAATATTAGATCTGAATCCTGTATTCAATATTCTATTTGATTTATCATAATTAATTCAAGTAATCAAAGTTCTGCTGTATTTATACATAACACCAATGGTAGGAAAATATATTTTGTTACCATTGGCTCTTCTTATGTTTCATATATGTAGTATGTCTAAACACGTACATATATGCTAAAACATTCAGATGTATTCTTGTTAAAGCAAAGAATTTCTACGTACATTGTTTTTGAAATAATACGTTTTCTCTTTTTTAGACGGGTAATTATTCAGTGTCAGTGAAAGTGGAGGATTTTTGGTCAGAAGAACCTCAAATGAAGTTGGCATATCTTCCAGTTCAAATTCCTATTTCTGGTATGATACTTGTAGTAGATCCTTTGAATGTCATGGTTGGAAAAGAGCACTCTGCAAAGATTTTAATAACAAATGGGAGTGATTTATCTGTGTTGTGGAATTATTATGGTGAAAGTGAAGAACAGTTCTTTGAAGGTATAATTTTAGTATGTATGCCTGAAATTTTATTTTATATAATTTGTATTTTTAGATGGTAAAACTTTTGCTACTATCTGATTGTTCACATACCTCATCAAAAGTCGCAAAAATGTATTCACGAGGCAAAGTGTTATGTTCCCAAAATAGATATGTGGCAGTGCACAATGTCATCAAAACTTCTTTATTTGACAACCCAGGTACGCACATAACACATGTCTGTTTTGGCTGGCACACATTGCCAAAATTGTACAGTGCAGAGTTTGTGCAATTTTTTTGAAGTTTTTTTAAAAATGAAAACAAATTACTGTGTACCTGAGGAGAACAATGTACAAAAAGGAACTCAGGCGTGCACATAACACACATCTGTTTTGGCTGGTGTGCAGTGCGGAAGTTGTGAAATTCTCTGATGTTTTTGGAAGTGGAAATAGATCATTGTGTACAAGGAAAGTGTAAAAAGGAAGGGCTTCTTATAAATATTTTATGACCATTGTTTCTTGCTTTATTAATTTTATTGATTGACTGTGCTTGCAATAGATTTATAGTTTGCCACCATTTTGAAGATTGCTGTTACATTTCTCATATTAGCTTGTGAAAAAAATTAGTCTTCAACGAGTTTGCGACTTTTTGATGGGAGTGCAAATGTACCAAAATTTTTTACATCTTAAACTTCTATTAAATATTTATTTTCTTTTAATTTAAGGTCCTGTGTCTGCTGATGGAATTTTGAAAAAGATACTATGTAAAACAAGTGGTGATTTTATTTTAAATGTAAATGTATCAAATCTGTGGTCTTCAGATAGTAAATCTGCTGAATTTCATTGCTTTTATGCCATTGGGAGAAACTGGTCCCTTACATCAAATTCACCTAAATCAACACCTCCAGGTTTGTTTTGTGTTGTAATATTTAAAATTTATAATTTTTTATTAACATTTTACTTATTTTTATTTGTATGTAGTAACATTTATATTTATTTTAAAATGCTCTGTAAAAAAATTATTTTTGCAAGGGGAGGTAATAAGTTGAGTTCCTTCTTTTCTTTTCTTCTCTTTTGAAGAAATAAATATCATGTTTGTTTTTTCATTGTGTCATGTTTTGTTTTTTAATGAAATAAGTAAGAAAAATAATGTTTATTAGTAAATAAGTAGATTAAAAAATAAATTTATTTCTATATATCATCTGTATCATTACCACAAATGTTTCATATCCTGTCGATATCTCCAGACTTTCATAAAATAAATTTGAGCATATGGATAAGTTTATTTTTTATCATCAAAATTCGCAACATTGATGAGATTACTAACATCTTTGAAGTTTTTTTCATTTGTTTAAATACCTGAGCTAAGCATTTAATCTTATTATATTTATTATGAATATTTTAAATATTTAATGCTGAACTTTCGTTATGTGCTTACGTAGATATACCGAGTAGCCAAAACTGAAAACAGCAGATTTTAAGAATTGTAAGTTCAAATTAAGGAGGCCTTTTGTGAATTGCACCTATAAGGTCAACTTAAAACACTACTAATCCATTAGAGTGGCATCAGTTAAAAATGAGAAGAAAACAATGCTACAATAACACGGCAAATATCATGGCTCGAGATTTCCAGTTTTCATTTGAAATATCATCACACATTTTTTTTTTCCATATTTCACCACTTTTTTTAGTGCGATGGACTATACAATTTGGAAATTACCTAATGATGAAGAGGCTGCCATAAGATTCCTCCAGCACAAAGGAATAAAAACTGACTTTTTTCATCAAAATTATTCAATGAATTTAACTTTTGACTTAAACAACGCTCCTGTATGGAGTTGTTACGAACGTTCTTGCTGGGAAAAAAAAAAAAAAAAATTGAGAATCAAAACATGGTTTGAAGACATTAGAATAGTTACTTGAGGGAGGTATATTAAAATAGTTTGATGTCTCGTAAAAGAAATAAAATTGGCAGAGCCAACAAAATCATAGAGATCGACGAAAGTCATTTCACAAAAAGGAAAAAACAACATTGGATATGTTCTTCCGGGAAAATGAGTATTCAGAGGTTTACGGCAGGAAAGCAAAGAATGTTTTCGGGTTGCCATTTCTGATTGTTGCGCTACAACATTGATGACTGCCATTCAGGAAAACATTGCTGATGGCAGCATACTATTTTCAGACTGCTAGAAAGGATATAACAAACAGGAATTAAGAAATGCTGATCATTTCACCGTGAATGACAGTTATAATTTTGTAGACCTCGAAACTGGATGCCATACCCAAACTGTGGAGCGATTATGGGGCATTGCTAAATGGAGAAATAAATTTTAGCAGGGCAATGCTCACCGCCATTTGCAGTCATATTTGATAAAATTTATGTGGTGTCAGTTATATTCAAAAACTGAAATTGTTTCTATAACATTGAATGATATTTGTAATTTTATGCCACCTGTTTAGATTGAATTTTCTTTTGTTTTACTATTTTTTATTTATAAATAGAATATTCTTTATGCTACTTGTTTAGATTAAATTTCGTTTTGTTATTTTTTTATGTGCAGAATACTCTAGCTTAAAAAAAAATAAAAAGGAAAATTTATTTCTTTAAGAGTTATGAAATTAAAAAAAAATTACTTTTAACAGAAGTAATTTTTTTTTAGTCTTTTGAACTCTATTATTATTTCATAATTTTATACTTGGCAACAATTGGTGCCTCCCAAAAAGTGGCACATTTTTAACTGATGCCACTTTAATGGAATAGTACCCTTAAAATATATATGTTACTAATCATATGAATATTTAATCTATACACTTAATATGTTAAATATGCATATGAATGAATTTAGTAAAGCAAGACAAAAGTGATTTTGCATATTAATAACAAAAATTGTTTCACTAATTAAGGAATACTAAATTTTATTAAAGACAGGTTTAGTAGTCATATACTTACATAAGAAAAGTTTTATTGTAAAGTGATACAGTTGAATGTAAATGTGAATCTGATGGAATATTAGATGGCATATATACTTGTGAAAGGGAGAGTGAAAGTTAATAAATTAGTTTCTTTTTCTTTATACAGTTCAGATGTAACATGAAAAATTCATGCAAACTGTTCAATGATATCTGTATTTTAAAGATGTTATGATCTGATTCATTAATGAAAATATGTAAATATTTTAAAACATGAAATAGGAGTGAAGAATATCAAAAATATGGTTTATTCCTAAAGGGAAAAAAAGCAGGAAATGTAAAAAATGTAATGTAAACTATAATTGAACTGTGAATGAACCCATCATCAGGTACTGAACCTTGAATCTGTCAGTACTATCTAAATGTGTTGCCCATTATTCCTTAAGTACAAGCTTGAGAGGAATGTTATAATGCCTTACATTCTGTCCTACTTAAAGAAAGACTATGCAGAGCCATGAGATCTAGTAGGCTGAATCTAAATGGTTATAAGTTATCACCAGCGCATTTTAGTTTGAATTCTTACGAAATATTTTAAAATGAGAAACACGAAAAATCCACTGCATTCTCATTGGGAATCAAATTAAAATTCTTCCAGTGCTTCATAAATGTACTTATCAGTGTACCACTTGAGCATGCATGGAAAGAATGCTGTGATTCCTTACAAAATGATCTAGTAAACCATGCAGTTGTGAAATCACTTTGTAATTAAGAATTTCTGCAAAGGAAGTTTCAATCTTCATTTTATTGATTGATTTTTCAGTTTTGTAAATTTGCAAGATAACCTTGCTTTGTTACCTGTAATTAAATAACTTCAAACTTCATTACCTTCTTGTTGCTATCAAGTGCAAAAGTTGAGATTAGTGTTTACATTTCATTTTTGCTTCAGAATATATCCCAGTGAATCTGAGTCAAATTTGACTGGTTAATTCATTTTGACAGTTTGATATTTATAGGAAGCTCATACAAAATCATGAAATCATGAATGAAGTGCTGCTCATCATGGATTTCATTCTTCATCATGGACATTATCATAACCTTCTTTAAATTGTATTACTATAAATGAATCAGATATGGTCAAGAAAATATGGTCCATAAATGGAATGATGAATAACTACTGGTACATCTGCACTGAAACAATGGCAGGACAGTATTTATATTTGGATGGATTTTGAATGCTTTAAAACATTTTAAAGTCTTAGAATAATCTTGAAAATATTTTTGAAAAAGTTATATTCTTGGATTCTCTAAAGTCTAAAGAAACCATTATGCATAAGGGCTTTAGTTTGTGTATTCAGTGTTGCTAAGCAGATTTTAATTTTTCAATATAATTAAAATTTCTTAATTAAACTTTAAATTTATATTATCTTTATACTAATAGAAATATTTGTTAAATTCATGATTATAATATATATATTTGCAGTTCAAGTCAAAATGAATTCAGGATTTTGCTTAACTATGCAAAATATAACTAATATATTTATTCAAAAGATACACATTGTAAAAAGTAATATACACAAGTTACAAACTAAATTTGTAACTTTATATGCCTCCAAGTCCAATGACTATGACTGATTTGAAAGCCTATATCACAGCTGCTATTGCCATCATTGATACAGTCATGCTACTTAAGGTTTGACAAGAATTGCATAACAGACTTCATGCATGCCTTGTAACAAAAAGAGCATGCACTCAATATTTGTGAGTTATTGTACCTCTACATGTATGTATCTTTTGAATAACTACATTAATTATATTTTACATGTAAAGCTGTGAAGTGCAGCCATTCATTTTGGCGTACCCTGTATATATATATATGCATATACACATATACAGGACAGAAATGAAACTTTATTTTTCATTATAGGTAAAATAATTTTTGATTTGGAATTCTTGGGATCTAATCTGCCTGACTCAGCTGAATACTTTATAGACTTTGGTGATGATTCTACTCAAGATTTTTCTGAAATCTCTTCAGAATCTGAGGACTGGAAAACTTCCATTTCTCATAATTATGATAATGGAGGAAATTTTACAGTTGTTGTAAATATCTCTAATCCACTCGGATCTGAAATTTTTCAAATTATGGTAAGTTTTTTAAAAGTTCATTTTAAAAAAAGAATTCAAGTTACAGATATACTAATTTTCTTGTATCAGAGATTTCTTCTTATCATTTCAAGCTATTGCAAAAGGTTAAATGCTACCTAAAAATACATTTGAGATTTCACTGTTTATTTGCTTTGGCTGTATTACAACGTTTGTTTTAAAATTGTCTGTTCTTTTTTTTTTTTAAACCTTCCAAAGATTTGTTTTTCATCTTTTGCTATAAATGCAGTTATTTTAAAGAGCTGTTAACTAGTATATAATATAATATAAAGTCAGTTTCAGTTTATGGGCAGCTATTTATTTTAGGTTTCTCAAATAAGTTTAAAAACTAACTGTATGGTACTGTTAACTTAATGAATAAATGCTAACTGGTGCAGTAATATTTTTTTCTTTGTATGTTGGTAAAGACTATCATTTAATTAAGATATGAAATAAATTGGAAAAGTGGTTTATTCTGGTTATTTGCCATTCTAGGTGCTTAAAAATGTGTAATTTAAAGGTAGATAATTAACATTAATTGCATGTTAAAATACAGTCAAAAGTCGTTAATTCGGACACCCATAATCTGGACCTCAAAGCTAAAATCTTTCTGCTCATGCCCCGCGTTGACGCATGCGCGTAGGCGTTTTATGCGTGCGCGCAAGACATTTACGACTGCGCATATGCGTCCGCGCAAGCGCAGAATACGTTTTTGCGTGCGCGTTTAATGTATAATGGACAGTATAAGCTAAAATTATCTAATTATCTATTTCAGTTAATGTTGATGATTGCGTTGTTCCTTAATCTTCGAAATCGGATCCAGCTTATTATTTGTTGCTGACTGTAAAAGCAATTTTATAAAAGTAAGCTTGAACTTTCGATTATGTCAAATAGAATTTCCGATGCTGGAGCTCCCAAAGGATCTAGAAAACGAAAGTATGTTTCGATGTCCATCAAACAAAACAAATTTCTACAAAAAATGGATAAAGGCATATCCTTTGTTTATCTAACCGTTCCAAAATCTGTTTATCAATTTCACGCTGCTCTGTGCGGGGGAAGATGTCGTGGCACGCAATGAACTGGAAGTTGATCTGTCAGCACTATCATTATTTTCAGGGCAGATGTTTTTATTTTATTCGGCTTATAATTCCTTACTTAATGTAGTATTTAATCTCGATTTACTCCGTCTTTGATATGATTTAAATCAAATTCTTCGTCATTATAAATATCACGAATACAAATCAAATAGTTTTCTGGTTGCAATTTTCTAATTTCGGCTATGCGTAAGGTATGCTTTACGCTTGCGCGCGTTGAAAGAAATGTTTAATAAAGTAAACAAATAAATATTAAGCTTCTTTTTTTTTGTAAATTTTTTTATACCCTTTAGATCATAACTGCTCATTATTTTATAAATACGGTTTCAATTTTTAATTTATAATTTCTGCATGCCATCTTACCAGATTTAAACTGATGATCTATAATCCGGAATCGCCGAAGTCCCGACGAGTCCGGATTAAAGACTTTTGACTGTATCTTTGAAAATGGAAATATAAAGTCCCAGTATATCCAATAAAAGTGGAGTATTACTAGTTTATTATTTTAAAAAGGCCAAAAGAATAGTAATAAGTATAATAAATAATTAGTTAATTAGGAAAATTGACAGAAAATGGAAATCATTTTTGTTGTTGTAACAGCTATTTCAGAAAAATGTGGTTCTCTCTCTATATGTATCTATTCATGTATATCTCCAGTAGGCTTAGCCAGATTTGACAGTATCTTAATTTTTCTGTATTAACAAAATTACATATTTAATTAGTGGTGCATGAAATAGCACATGGTATCATTTTTCTGAAGAGGAATTTTTAAAAAAAATTTAATATAATGAAAGAAAATCAAGTATGTTAAATTTTTAAAATCATCTTAATTTTATCATATGGAAATAACTGATCTAGGTATATATCATATTGTGAGGATCAAAGTACAAAGCATACTCTTTTAATAATTGAGAAAATTCAATTTTTAATAACGAAGAGACTGTTTAAGTGATTTGATATATTTACCTTTACTGTTAGCCTTCTGCTGCAACAATGCAATATTTCCATTTCTTAGGCAATTTTCTGGTTGATGAATTTGATTTTTATCTTTCATATTTTTTCAAAAAGTGTGTGAAAAAAATTGGCATCAGGATGACATTAATAGTTACTCTTATTTAGCTGATAGATAGAAGCTTAGTTGCATGAATTTAAATAATATTGCATTGCATTAAACTTTTTTAAAATTTTAATTTACATTTCTTAGTTATCTTCTCATATGTATGTATTTTTTGATGAGATGAGAACTGTTTAGAAAATTACTGTTACTCAGATTTTCTTTAGTTTCAGTAAGCAATTTTAAATTCGGTAAAAATGTGCTTTATCCCACTGCTTGGAGATTTTCCGCAGTGGAGATTTTTTGAAAATTGCCAGTAAAAACTCAGAATACGCTGCATAAACAAAGTTTCAAAGGTGGAGCTAAGTGACATCCATAAATGGGTGGGACTAAGCTTGATAGAAATAAGTATAATAAATTGTTTATGTTTCAAATTACCATGATACAGTAAGTGAATTGTACCAATTATTAAAACGGTAAACAACATCGCAGTCTCTCATACTTGTATTTCATACAGCTTCAGTATTTTCAAGGATTTTTAAGCTTTAGTATTTATACAAATAAAAAAATGATTTTTTTAACAAAATTTAAATTCATAATATGGAACATTTCAATTTTAGCATTTTTACAAATTATCTTGTTGCTACGTAACAACACAATTCCCTACATACCAGTAAGTAGACAATCTTCATTATTTTCTAAAAATTTTAAACTTTACATTAATAAAAAAAGAAAAAAAAATATTGCATATCAGCATCATTCATAGCTTTCATACCACTGTTTCTTAAATTCTTAAATCACACTATATTCTCCATAGATACTCTAGAATTCTACACATTAATAAATAAAAAAATCTGATTTCTCACAATGAAAGAAAATAATATAAAAATAAATGCTACAAATTTGGAACACGCACACATATTATATTATCAAGTGCAATTACAATAGCAAACACTACATATTAAAATTATGAGGTAAAAGTTATTTATGGGGTCAAAGCTTACAGTTATGCTACTATTGAGTAGATCATCGGACTATTGATATTTATAGTAAGTCAGAAAGCATTATCAACATATCCCACCCCCCCAAAAAAAAGTGTAAACTAAAAAAAAAAATGAAAATTTCAAAGGTTTCTGATTTTAAATTACATCCAAAGGGGCATTTCTTTAACATTTTGTTTGTTACCTTTATTTATTAAATATCATGTTCTTTGCATTTAAATCATAAAATTTAGTTCAAGAGCAATATTGCAAAATAATTTTAAATTGAGCATATCTTTAGAATTTCTGATACACGGTGTCATGCACTGGAGATAAAAATGTTTTTTCAGTTTTCCTTGCTTTCTACATTGCCATTCAAACCCATCTGTACATCCATTTCTCACACAAATGCATATTATCACCACATTTCAAATAAAAAAACAAACAACAACAAAAAAATAACAATCAAACCAACTTTTATTCACCATTAAATGACGGCACATTTCCCTTGCACTTCCAATAAAGTTATAAATGTGGATGTTCATTCACTCACCTCTCTCAGTATCACAGATAAATCCATAGTGACTAGTTATCTAACGAAATATATGCAGAAAAATGGCAAAACACACATAAAAAAAAACCACCCTATTGATAATTACCACGTAAGAACATTCAAATGTCAACTGAATTAACTGCTGAAATTAACAAGTAAAAATTCCCCCCCCAAAAAAAAAATCTGTTTGGAAATTTTTTTAACTGCAGGTATATTTTTGAAAGTATAAATTATCGTCTGCTACTTGAAAATTTTGTTTTCATGCAAAATGGTGATTTGTAAAGAAGCAATGGATGTGCTCTTTCTGAAGAAATTTATTCGTATCTAGTTATTAAAAAACACTGTGAAAGCCATGCTTATTTTATATCTAAAGCTACAATAAGTAATATTGCCAACAAGAAATAATAATAATAATAAAAAATATATAATGACATTTAAAAAAAAATTAAATCTGAAAGCTTTCAGATTTAACATTACACCCAAAGATGCGTTTTTTTAACGCATTGTGTGTTACCTTTATTTATTAAATATCATGTTCTTCGCACTTATACCATAAAGTTAAGTTTGACAGCAATATCACAAAATAGTTTTAAAATGAGCCTATCTTTAGAATTTCCGATACACAGTCTTGCAGCGCTGGAGATAAAAACAAAATCCCCCCCGCACACTGTTGCCATTACTCGCTTTGAAATCGTTGAATTTGTTAATAAAAAATTCGTCAAAAGTTTTACAAAATATGAAATAGATAATAAAATAAATGCCAAATCCAGGCTTCCAGATGCCCATATTATGGAGGAAACATACATTAATCAAAATTTGATGGATCTAGCTACTGTTGTTTTATTATAACAATGCGAGAAACATACATAAATTTATGCAGATTCTTCATTATTTAATTTATAATATTTGGTGGCAACAATTTAAAAAGTGAATCAACATTTATACTGAATAAAAATATCAAGTTAGCCATGTTGGTGTGTTTATTGCCCATTCAAAAAAGTCGCCAAGCAAGTGGGCTAAACCACATTTGAGCCTTAAATTCTTGCTTTGATAGAAACAAAAGCCTTTCATGATGGCATTTTAAAATCATAAAAGATTCTGTACTATGAAGTACAAAATTCTGTACTATGAATTTTTATTTATATTTTCAATTACTGTTAACTTTTACTTATTTAAGTTTAAAATGAAATTAATTAATACTAAATTGTTTCTTTAAAACATAATATTTGAAGCAAATATTTGTGAACTGTGTATAAATTTTTCTTGACATCAGATGTGTTATAATGCTAATGAAGGTATTTAACTGTTTTTTTTTAATTGCAGGTCCAGATATTTGAAAAAATTGGAAAATTATCTGTTATTCCTTATTTTGTAAAAGATGGCTCTTATCCAGAGGATAAAACAGACTTGAAAGGAAAAGAAGAAACTGATGCTCCTCTTGATTCAACTATATACTTTGAAAATTCAGTTAAAGGTTAATGAGAAAAATATAGTTTATTTATTTTTTTTATATATATATATTAGGCTGTGGGGAACTTCGTTTCAGAATTAACAAATGATCTTGAAGCTTCCATTATAAGAATATATAAGGGAAGGGTTTAAAGCAACATAAAAAATGCTTGCTTGTTGAATTCATCCTTTAAATATGCACTCTAATGTGCTTTACTTGAATTTACAATCATGTATGTGTATTTATTTATTCATTTGTGTGTATTAAAAATTTTCTTACCCGAAAGTTTGTAGATTGAAGAATAATTATTTTTATTATCTCTTGTAATTGAAATTATTTATTCTTGTAAATTATTATTTTTCTTGTAAAAGAAATAATTAACACTATTTAGGATGAAGGATATTATTTTTGCAATTGCAATGTATATACAAACAACATATTGCATGGTGTTAAAAATAAGTACCTAGAGATAAAAATTTGAAGAGGAATATTTATATCCTAATTTTTTTTCTCTTCTCATAAGGGCAGCTAATGAGTGAATCAAATATTTTTATGTAAGATTTGAAACTTGTGTTGACTTCTCCTGGTAGACCACAGAATGAATTATAAGTAAAGGAAATCTTTTACTGTTCTTCAAATAACTGTTTTATTCAAATTAAGTATTCTTGGATTATCTGCCTAACCCTCCCATAAAATCAGGAATCATTGGTGAATAATTTTTTGGTAACCCAGCAATGAAAAACAGCAGGTATTTTGAAAAACTGTGGCACACTAAAAATGCATAAAAAGCATAGAATTAATGAAATTAAAAATCCAAAAAATATCCTTAATGAACAACAGCAGTAAATTATATTAAAAATGCAACAAACATCCATAATAAAATGCTTTACTTTCATTTTTCTGGTCTCCTGCTATGCACAGCAGTCTATTTTAACTTAATAAAACATCAGAAAATTGTATAAATGAACTTCATGGAGTGCACATTCCTACACTGTTTACTGCTATGCAAAATACCATATTTCTGTAAAAATGCATCACTTTCTTTTTTCATTAGCAGTCATTTCAGGCAAACCAACAGTGGCATTATAGGCATTATAATTTGTTACCAAGTTAAATATATATATATATATATAATTAAATAAGTAAAAAAATCTGAAAGGTTTTAGATTTTAAATTACGTCTAAAGGGCATTTTTTTAACGTTTTGTGTGTTACCTTTATTTATTGAATATCATGATCTTTGCACTTAAACCATAAAATTCAGTTCAACAGCAATGTTGCAAAATAATTTTAAAAAGAGCATATCTTAGAAGAATTTCCGATACACAGTTCCATGCTCTGGAGATGAAAAGGTCCCCCCCCGGTAGAGTGTTGCCATTGCTCGCTTTGAAACCCTTGAGTTTGTTAATCAAAAATTTGTTAAGGTTTTACAAAATATGAAATCAATAATAAAACAAATTCCAAATTTGGTCTTTCACATGCCCATATTTGTAGGAAGATTACATCATTCAAAATTCGATGGCTCTATATACTGTTGTTTTATCACAATGCAAGAAATACACACATTTATGCAGATTTTTCATTAATTTCTTCAAATGTAATGCAGGACTCTTTGGTGGCAACAGTTTGAAAAATGAAACGAACATTTATTGTGATTCAACACAAAATCACGAAACGAAAACAATAGTCTTTCAGGGACAAAGCCCCTTCGGACTTAAAAAAAAAAAAAAAAAAACACTACTACACACCATAATCATACCAAGCAGAAACAGCGAATTCAATTCTCAAATTTCAAAACTGTGTGCATTACCATCACCACCAAGGCAGTATTGCCACTATTGAGATATCTGTCTGGATGGTGGTCTACTTTGGCAACAGAGTGCTTTGCCCATTGATTCCAGTCAGTGTTGAGTGGGTTACCTGAGAGTACTGAAAATTATATTAAATGACTTTGTTTTGAAAATGTGCATTAGTTCTCTGCATTCTGCTACACTTTTTTAGGTTAATTATAGACTAATAGATTTTTTTAATTATATATTTTATGTTTTGAATTAAAAAAAAGTATGATTGATTAGTTTTTAACAAATTATTTTTCTAAAAAGGTATTTTTTTCATTTCAACGGTAATTTTATTTCAGGATCTGTGACTCATTATTTGATGAAGTTTGAAGATGGAAGCATTAGTAAAAATGATACTGATGATGTCTTTTCTCATACCTTCTCTGAGGTATAGTAATAAATTAAGTCTTTCAATTAAGTTTTTTTTTTTTTTCAAAAAGAAATTCCTTTTATAGATGACCTAGTGAATTCAGATGAATTCTTTTTAAAACTGATGCATGATTTTTCCCTTGGATATGAATTTCTGTTCTTGGTTATTGCAAGTTATTCTGTGTGAAAAAGTTTTTAAGAAATTTTATATATTTTGCATATTTTTTAAGTTTAGAAAATTAAATTCAAAATTATTTGTTTTTTTAGGCAATGAATTTTATGTAAGCATAAAAACTTGCCTTTATGATCAGAAGAGATATTGTTACCTCAAAGAAAAAATATGAAGCCAATTTTTTGGTTGAAAAACTGAAATTAGAACTTTTGAACTGAATTTAAACATGATTACAATTAAAAAAATTTGTTATAAAATTTTATTGCATTTCGTTAAGACATGTTCACTGTTTTACGTAGAGTAACATATCTCTTAAAAATAGAGTGCACATTATTAAAATTAATAAAAAAATAATGCATTCTTTTAAAAATTTTGCATTTATACACCTTATGTTGGTGATATTAATATACAATATTTTAAAATTTGAATATTTTTCAGTACTTGTATACCTTTTTGTCCACTATGAAAACTGCCAGAGATCCTGCCAAATTTGCATCACCCAAGTAGAAGCTGGGGGGAATAGATCACTCTTAATGCAGATAAATAATCACAGATCAATCATTAGTTAATTAATCAATTGACAGAAGCTACAGATGTAGCATATAAAAAATGTAAGCAAATATAAGCTTAAACTTTGAAATCATCTGATAAAAAATTTATTAAAACTTATGCTAGTCATTCCAGTGGCTATGAATCCCTGTGACATTTAATATAGTGACAAAGTAATAATCTTCTTTGTGAATTCAGCTCTACATAAAGTTACTTAAACTTAGTACATAAAGTTACTAAAATGTGGCTCTGTGATGTTTTTATTGCATTATTTTACCAAAGCACAGAGGTTTTTCAGTGTATGCGCACCAGTCTGGCTTATTGAGAATTAAGGCTCCACAGGACTAAAGCTAAGATGTATAAGGTATTTTCTTCCTCCTTTCTGCATGCCTTTGTAGTGTAATGGTAGCACATTTTCCACGTATTCAAGGTTCAAGTCCCAGAGAGGGCATTGCTCATTTTTCATGTACTCCTGCTTTAAAAATAACCTAATGACTCTACAGTGGTGCCTGAACAAGAAAGGTGTTGGATGATGATTCTTCACCACCAAGATTTCAGATTGGGTCCCCAAATCCCCAGTCACCCTCTAAAATGGGAAGTGTATAAGGTATTTTCTCCCTCTTTTCTGCTTGCCTTCTCATTGTAACAGTAGCACACTCGGCGCATATTCGAGAAGTCCAGGCTCGATTCCTGGTGGGGCATTGCTAATTTTTGATATAGTCCTGCTTTAAAAATAACCTATTCACTCTACACATATTGTGTAAGAGTATGTTTATCCATTTTGCACTATTTAACAACATTTTTGTTTTGTTTTTCTTTATTTTTTTCAAATTTATCAAAATTTATCAATCAAATCACTTTATTATCAAATTGTTTATTAATCAAAATTTTAATAGGACTCTGAATTATTATCAAGTAATATAATATATTATTACACATCATAAAATATATTATTAATTGCAATTACTTTAAATAGTTATTTTGGTCAAAATTTTAGGATTTGTGTTTTTCAAATTATGTTTCCCTTTATCTGCTAATGCTAAGTGCTTCATCTCTGTAAGAAGCTTTTCTGTCCTTGAGTCTTTTCCACTTTGAAGGGAAGAAGTACGCAAGATAAAAATTAGGTAAAACCAAATTGTATTAGCAATTAGCCCCCCCCCGTAACTTCTCATTTTAATCTGCATATTTCTCCTCCCTATTCTAAAAATAGGAATTACTTGCTTGGCCATTTCTGGTCTGTGCCATCTCTAGATTAATCCATATCATAGGACTTTTATATAAGGATGATGATGCAGCTAATTTGTAACTCATAATTTTGAGAACTGAAATCTATCCTTTAATAAGCTGCCATACTGAATAACTACGCACTTTGCTTCTGCTCCTCAGTAAAAGTAGACTGCTGCTTGCTGCATCTCTTCTTATTGAAAAGCTATTAAAATGTCAATGTTTTGAATCAGGCACAATTAGAATGACAAGTGAATTGTGACACAAATGTCAGTTGAAATAAAAATGAATATTTAATCTGCCTTAGCTGCCAAGTTTGATGTTCATTATGGATCAACATCTATGCAATCAACATATCTACATCTTAATGTCCTAGTTGACAGGATCTCTAGTACAGGTACATCAGTGGAAAATTCAACCATGCAGAATACGCTCTCCCTTAAAGTACAGTTTATCTATACAGGGTGTATCAGTACAGTGGTGGCAATTTTTCAGGAGAGATAGAGTATAACTAGGCGATGGGAAATCACATAGCAATGCATGGTAGGAAATGCTTTCCTGGCCTGGTAGTGACAACACAAAACTCAAGAAAGAAAGGACATGAATGGGAGTGAGAAGAATATGTTCATTATTTGGCATACAACAAAAACAAAGAAAAAACAACATAGAGAGACAACGATCATCATCAAAGAAGGTGTTTGAAATTATGACCAGACCGTGATGCAGGAACTGTGGGTCGGGCATCTTCCATGCGATTTTCCATGTATGACACAGATCTTCCATGCGCCAGAGAAGAGAGGCCTGCATCATGGTCTGAGGTTGTACTTTCAAACACCTTCTTTAATGATGATCATTATTTGTTTTTGTTCTTATTTGTAGGTTTCTGCTGCACCAAACATAATAAAACATGTTTTGTCTCATTGTTTGTGACCTTCCTTTTTTGCATTTTGTATTATCACTACCACACCAGGAAAATGTTTCCAACCGTGCATTGCTATGTGATTTCCCATCATCTATGTGTACTCTATCTGTCTTGAAAGTCTGTCGACACTGCACTGATACACCCTCTAGAATAAAACGAAGTGTGATTATTATCATCTGAAATTACATGTCTTAAATTTTTTAATGAAATGACAGCATAATGTTTCTGCCAGTACTTATATATATATATGTTGCCTAATATTTCACCTCATTCAATGTCATTGTTTTTTTAAAAAAACTATTGAACTTTTTCTTGGAGCCACAGCTCCTGGTAACTTTTTGGCGAGCTAACTACAATTTCTCTTCTCATTTCCTTAATTTTGCAGCATATTGCGCAAAAGATTTTGACCCAAATCGGTCTTTTTAGTATTGTACTTACAACCTAGCTTATAATATAAATATATATATATATATAAGTGGTGGCCAAAATTGTGAACACTTTTGGAAATTTTTATGTTTTTGAACTTTGTATGCTTATAGAAAACGTTATGTTTCACAAAATGCGAACTTGTATATATCATTTTAAAGAGAATTTATTACTGAATTCAATACAAAACACAAAATTCAATTATTTGCAATACAAAAAAAGTTAAACGATAATAGTTATCGATATACATTAGATAGTGATGATTGCAGTGAGTTATCAGTACTTGGTAGGGTACCCTTTATTTTTGATTACAGCTTCACATCGACGTTTCATTGAGCTGACAAGAGTTTTAAGCTCTTCTTTCATTATTACATGATGCCAGGAAACAATTAGAGCCTCAATTAGTTCCCTTTTATTTGATGGGCGCCTCATTCAGACAAGAGTTTTCAAATGGTGCCACAAATTTTCGATAGGATTGAGGTCAGGACTGTTTCCTGGCCATGACAACAATTTAATGCTCTTTGTACGAAACCACTCTTTCGATATTTTGGCCGTGTGGCAAGGAGCAGAATCCTGCTGAAAAATAAACGAAGCATTGTTGGGAAAGAGATCTCTGATGGAAGGTAGAAGTGTCAATGTATTTTCTGGCATTCAGTGTCCCATCGATGACATGAAGGCGACCAATACCGTCTGCTGACATGCATGATCAAATCATAAGACTAACTGGGTTCTTCACAGTTGCTTGAATGCAGTCAGGGTGTAGCTCTTCTCCTATTCTACGTCTTACATATTTTTGCCCATCACTACGGAATAATGATGTCTTAGTTTCATCACTCCATATAACTTGTGACCACTGATCATCTGTCCAATTAATATGTTCCTTTGCTCACTGTAGTCTTTTTTTTTTTTTTTTTTTTTCGTTGCTGAAAATTAAGATAAGGCTTTTTTCATGGAATTCTACCTCTCAGTCCAACATCTGTTAATTTTCTCCTGATTGTTCTTGAACTGACAGAAACACCAGCATCATTCAGATCACTTCTGATGGCCGCTGATGACATTTTTCTATCTTAGAAAGATAGTCTTTTTATTCTTCTGTCATCAATAGATGTGGTGCACCTTTTTTGTCCTTTTTCTTCTTTGTTTTTTATTGAATTTGTCTACTGATATCGTAAACAAAACTTTCGGACTCCAGATGTAGTCACTGAACCACCCACCTGTCTTGCAATTTCAGCGTAGGAAAGACCACTTTCTCGTAACACAATAATATTACATCTCTTTCTAGGTATCCAATGTACTCTTTTATTTGATGTCATTGCGTCTTGATGAAATATTAAAATTTTTACAAAAATTCCTACTTGTAATTGCAGTGTATAAGAAACAGATCCTCCTTCTACAGAACAAAGCAAAATAATGAATTGTTTCAAGTGTAAACATGATGTCAGCTTCTACTGGCAGTTACTAACATTTGATTGGTTCTCATAACAAGAGCAGTGATTGGCCAGGAAAGCTAGACATTACAAACCACTTCATAACTGTGTTTTTTATTTATATTAAAGTACATATAACTTTTTTGTATTGTAAATAATTGAATTTTGTGTTTTGTATTGAATTCAGTAATAAATTCTCTTTAAAATGATATATACAAGTTTGCATTTTGCGAAATGTAACATTTTCTATAAGCATACAAAGTTCAAAAACATAAAAATTTCCAAAAGTGTCCACAATTTTGGC